ACAACAAGCACAGACACCCTGCACACAGGGGACAACAAGCACAGACACCCTGCACACAGGGGACAACAAGCACAGACACCCTGCACACCGGGGTCAACAAGCACAGACACCCTGCACACCATGGACAACAAGCACAGACACCCTGCACACCATGGACAACAAGCACAGACACCCTGCACACCGGGGTCAACAAGCACAGACACCCTGCACACAGGGGACAACAAGCAAAGACACCCTGCACACCGGGGTCAACAAGCACAGACACCCTGCACACAGGGGACAAGCACAGATATACTTCATGACCAAGGGCATGTACGGACACATGGCAACACCACTCATTAGTGCTGGTGTACTGGGAAGAAGATTCAAAAGACTCAAGAGAACACACCTGAACATTGGCGATGGAAGTTTCAATCTGACTCAGAGTATGCAACTTCTTCTTCATGCTGGTCAGGATTGCAGACCGAGGGGGTGGGGTGACTGACATGGCTTGAGGTCTGTTGATAAGCAGATCTTCATGTTGCCACTGTCCAAAGGGGGGAGAAAAAGTGTAAGAATATCAGGAGGAAAACCAGAGGTAGCAAGGGGTTGGGGCTCCAGTAGGCTAACAACAGTAACATCAAAAGAATTACATCCAGGAGGAAACTTTCCTGAGGTGAATGGCTGATTTAAAAAACAAAACAAAACAAAACAAAAAAACTCTTAATTATTATACGCCAACATTTAACTAGTCATTTGGAGTATGTTCACTAGTCTATGTGAAAGTCTAGTACATTATTCTACCCCACCTCCCATACCCACAAGATTTGTGATCTTGTGGGCATGGCTGTCCATACCTGCAAACCTGGCTAACTAAGGAGGCCCAGGTAGGAGCCATGTTAGCAATGCTCTGCCTCAAAAGACAACACCCCCCTCATTCCCCCCAGCTCTATAGTTAGGAGAAACACACTGGGCAGGAGACTGAAAGGAACGGAGCAGCCACAGAGAGAAACTTTGCAAACACAGAAGGTAAACATGAGGCAAGGGAGAAAGAGACTGCTGAGGGGTCAGGCATCATGGATGTTTGTAGCCCAATCTAGAAGTTCCGAGGAACATCTGGGTTCTAATAAATGCTGGGCTGAGGATGAAGTTAGGTGACTGTGTGTACGTAACTGTGTCTGTATGTGCGCTTAGCACACACACAGCACTTGTTCAGTTCTAGCACCACTAAATACATACCAAAACAAAATGAGGGGGAAAAAAATCAGGGGAAAAAAACCCCAAAACATATAAATGAATCATAAAACAAAAAAGTCATATTGTACTTGGACCTTAAAAGAATATGTGTTCCAATTTTAAAACTGAAAGGAGGGCTGGGAAGGTTGCTCAGTGGTAGAGCGCTTGCCTTGCATGCATGAGGCCCTGGGTTCGGTTCCTCAGCACCACATAAGCAAAAAGAAAAAAGTTGGAAGTGGCTCTGTGGCTCAAGTGGTAGAGCGCTCGCTAGCCTTGAGCTGAAGAGCTGAGGGATAACGCCCAGGCCCAGAGTTCAGACCCCATGACCGGACCCAAAAAAAAAAAAAAAAAAAACCTGAAAGGATTTCTACCATGTCTTCCATTACCCCTATTTTTAAACAAAGAAATTCACAAAAGCATAAAACTTCAAAGCATTAATCATTTTTGGACTTACTAAAATATATCCCAAAATCAAAACAACGTGCTACAAGTAGGAGAATCGATACATAATGAATGCAATCAAGTGGAATAAACTGTTTAACTTACAAAGGAAGAAAATGGCTATGATAAACCTGCCAGGAAGAATAACTACACCAGCTGCGCTGAGCAGAAGCCACCAAGTCCACTACCAGGAACAACTTAGATACAAAGTAACCTCTGGATGTGCCAAACACAGCTAGAAATTGTAGTCCTCAGATATCTTATACTTCCAGTTGCTGACAATACCCAAACTTGTATTTCTATCTCAAAAGGAAGAAATAAGAAAGCAACCATTATCCTGTGCTTAGCAGCCTAGAAAGCCCACAGTCATCTGATGAAAGAGGTACTGTCCTCCTTCCACAGATAAGGAAACCAGAACTCAGATATAAATTTATAAATCTAAAGTGTGACTTGGATCCAAATCCATCTCACCCCAAAGCCTGTGCTGTCTTAGTGACGCCTTTAAATAAGGACAAAAGCAACTTTTAAAATGTGTTCCCAAAATGAAGATTATTCACTTAAAATTACTATAGAGATCACCTTAGTTATAATGTTTAACAGTGGTGGACACATGTCTACATAATGAATAGGGTCAACCAACAATTACAGTATAGCTGGATGCCAGTAGCTCATCCCTGTAATTCTAGATACCAAGGAGAAAGGTTGAGATTTGGAGGATCACAGTGAGGGACCAACCTGAGCAACCAAGTTCCTGAGACTCCATCTCAAATGAGAGCTAGGTCAAGCGTAACATGCCTGACATCCTAAAATACTAGGCTTAACATACCTCGCCCCAGGTGCATGCCCAAGCAGGAAGTTGAGACACTATCTCAGAAATAGATGGCCAAAAGCAAATAAAACAAACACTGGGCAATGGTGGCTCATGCCTGTAATCTAGCTACTCAGGAAACTGAGATCTGAAGAGCATTGTTCAAAAACAACAGGGCAAGAAAGTCAGTGAAACTCTTATCTCCAATTACCACTAAAAAGCCAGTAGAGCTGTGGTTCAAATATTAGACCGTTAGCCTTAAGTTAAAAAAAAAAAAATTAGAGACAGCACCTAGACCCTGAGCTCAAGGCCCAGGACTAGCACCAAAAAGGGAAAAAACAACAACTCACAGAGCTAGAGTTGTGGCGTAGCAGTAAGACTGCCTGCCTTGAATACCAGGGTTGTCAGTGGTTCGTGCTTGTGCTTGTAATCCTAGAAACACAAAAGGCTGAGATCCAGAAGATCATGATTGGAAACCAGCCCAGAAAGAACAGCCTCAAGACTCCATCTCCAAAAATACCTAGCAAAAACTCTGGCTAGAGGCTCTACCACTGAGAAAGGTAAATACCAGCCAAGTAAGCATGAGTCCCTTGAATTCAAACCTCAGAACTGGGAAACAGTAAAATAAAATCCAAACTAAACAAAAAACCCAATACTGCCCTATTACGTCCACCACGAATACTCACTGACATGATAATACTTATGATGCAGCCTGAGGGAAACAAATTCAAAGAGCACAGACTGTGCACATGAAATGATCCCAGCTTCAGAGATAAACAAGGAGCCTTGAATCCTAAGGTAAGTTTGCTATAGATTGGCACGCTGATGAAGTTAAATTTTTCCTCCTCTTGTGTTGTTTCATACAGGTGCCTCTCCTTTCCAAGCATACCTGGAACATGGCGATCTGGAGCTGGACCCGCTGCAGGCTTGTCTTACAGGAAGCAATGCTCGTTTCCAGCCTGCGCACAAGGTCGTGCTTCTTCCATGCTGTGTCGTAGGAGCTAGCTAGCACAGTCGCCCTGTTCATCACCAGCTGAGAGAACTTCCCCACCTGGATGTTGTGCTCCACTGCTTTCTTACACAGGTCATCCACAGAAACCTTGCTTTCAGCACCAAAATCCTTGGCCTCCACCTGGGCAATGATGTCCACGCCCAGGGCACTGATAAAGCTGCACAGTGTGAGCCCCAAGGCTTGGTTTGGGAGGCCTATCAAGAGCTGCCTCACGAAGTCAGCTGTGAAGGCCTTGATGGGTTTGGCCATTTGGTCCTCACTGAAACAAGAGTTTCTAAAAAGTGTTTTCACATTGACAATCTGCACAGGACCATTCACAGTATTCTGATCTTCAAGTGAACTTGATCCTAAGAAAAGGAAAATTTTCTTGAAGTAAATTATGCAGAAATAAGATTAGTTTAAAAAAAAGGAGGGGGGCAGACTTGGGAGGGAAAGAGCAGAATGATGAGTGATGTGGATCAAGATGCATTATATTCAGAAACTGATATGTTGAATGGTAACTTCTTTGTACAACTACATAAAGGTTATAAAAATATAACCTTTTAAAAGGAGGGAGAAATGCTGCTTAGTTAAAGCACTTCCGATTTTATGAATGTACAATTATATGAAGCTCCCTTCCAAAGGTTAAACCTAGATGTTTAAAGGTGAAATATTAGCCAGGCACTGGTGGCTCATGCCTGTAATCCTAGCTACTTTATTGCCAATTAACCACTCAAAAACTGGAAATGGTACAGTAATTCAAGTGGTAGAGCATTAGCCCTGAGCATAAAGAGGCACAGGGACAGCTCCCAAGACACACACACACACACACACACAGAGACACACACACACAAAACAGGGACAGCTCCCAAGACACACACACACACACACACACACATACACACACACACGATGAAATATTACCTGACAATGTTCACACACACACACACACACACACACACACACACACACGATGAAATATTACCTGACAATGTTTTAGAAAAAGTACCACAGAGCCTGAAGAACTCTTTAATTGTCTGTAGTCTTTTTAGAAAAAAAATTTCTTCTAGCACCTGCCGGTGATTGTCATCATCAAAAAAATTAACTTGGGTACTTCTTGCTTCCCGAATGATATCAATCTTCCTCCAAGCAACAGGAATTTCCATCTTGTTTAACTTTGTAAATGAAAGAAAAAAAATTGTTTTTTCTCTGTTCTCACACTGAATATATTACACTGCCCTTATATAATTGATAAAACCAACCCCACATTTACCTTTTCAACTAATAAACCAAAAGCTGTTTCAACCTGGGCAAACATGCCATCAAATGCTACCAAGAGCATCTGGCCAGCTGACATTTTAGGTGTTTCATCAACAGAACCATTTCTTGGTTGGATTAATTCACCGTATTGGGCATGCAGTACTCTAGAGAAAAAGAAAACAGAGTTAAGATCCTCCTTGAAGAGAAATGCAAGAGGAGGGAACATAAAAATCAGCCATCTCAGAGACAGAATGCAAGGTCAGCAAATTTGGCTTGAAGAAGGAATGTCATGAGAAAATGCCATTTCATGTCACCTACATGAAGCCAACAAAGCTAACTCAGTATCATTAAACTTTGTGCAAACCTGGGTTATGATATGTTAAAAGTTACAGAAAGTATTAAACTCACTTTATGTTCAAAATATGAAATAACCTAAACTTGCATCCTAGACCAATGTCAAGGATAATTTTAAAATTGGTAGATTTAGCAAATTTTTCTAATCGCATTAGAAACAATAAACCAAAACATTTTGGATACATTTAGTTTGAAATTCTGCACATTATGTTTTTTTCTTTTTGGTGGTCAAAGATCTAAATTGGAGGCCCTACACCTATTAGATAGGTGCTCATTCACTTAAGCCATAAACCTAGCTTTGGAATTTTGTGTGCATTCTGAATGCACAATCTTTGTTAAACTTCCTATTTCCTAATATCATTAAGATATATATAATACTAATATATCCTGTGCTCTCTCTAAACATGTTACATAAAAAGCAAAAAATAACTGCAAGTACACACAATTACTATCAGTAAAATAGTTACCTAGTTTCATCCTTATCATCCTAATAAGTAGAACCAGGAAAAGGTTTTAGGAGGATTTAAAATATTAACCAGAACAATTTCTATTGGAAAAGAGCTGCAAGACAAGGCTATGAATTATTCCTTGAGACTTACTCAAACAAGGCACACACAGGCTACCACAGAAGTAAGCATGCAGCTTGTCATCCTAAGCATACCTTCAATGTGAGGGGAGAGTGCCTTGGAAAAGACAGCAGATAAACAGAGGTATGAAAGGTACACAGAGGCTCATCTTTACTAGGTAGACATTCAACCACTTAAGCCACACCTCAAGCCCTAACTTTTTTTGTATTGGTAGAAATTATGACAATTACATGAATAATCTAAATCAGTTATACTTTGTCTCTTATTGTATGACTAAAACAACTAAAATACATTGTAAATGTATGCTAACTCAAAGATAAAAATAAACTAAATGAAGAAATATATAAAAATAAGGGATTCAATTCTTTTTTTTCTTTAACTGGTACCTGGACATGAATTCAGTGTCTTCATTCTCACTCTACTGACTTTTTCAGCTGGGACTCTACCACATAAGTCATCCCACCTAGCTTTTATTGGTTATTTTGGAGCTAAAGTCTCCAGAACACTGGAAGAGGGTGGATGAAGGATAAAGTAGCCACAGAGCCTTCCTATTGTATTCCTAAAGACAATTTCCAGTGAAACTACAATCATCGTAGAGTATTTTTTTTTAAAGGCACTTGGGCTAGGTGCAGTAGCTAACACCTATAATTCCAGCTACTCTGTAGACAGACAGGGAAGGAGGGTTGCAATACAAAGCCAATCTGGGCAAAAAATTAGCAAGGCCCATCTCAACCAACAAGCCAGCACAGTGATGTGAGCTAAAGGTCCTAGCTGTGCTGGAAGTAGAAAGACCACAGTCCACAGGCAGCCTAAGGGAAAATGTGACTGAACAATAACTAAAACAAGTGCTCAAGTGATAAAGCACCTGTCTTGCAAGTGTGAGTCCCTGTCCTGCATTTAAACCTCTTTGTTTTCCCCATCCCCACTAAAGAGAGGAGTATGGGCATTTGTAATTATACTTGCTCTGAAAGGTAAAAGCAATTTACAGTGGAGTTAGAGCTTAGAATCCCTTTACCTGGCTGCCCCACCTCTTTCGTGGGGCAACAATATATAGAATTCACTTGCCTGGCAACATCAATGTAATGGGCATGTGTTTCTTCTTCGAGTCCCATAGCTGCATTTCTTAGGTAGGCTTGAAGAGATTCAACTATAGTTTGCAGAGGAGCACCATCAGCTGTCTGCTCAATGAGACTATCCAATTCATGGAGCATGTTTTCTAAGGTAGACTCCCCTTTCATTAAACATCTAAGTGCTTCTGGGAAGATGATTTGTCGAAAATTTGAATTCAATTCCTAAAAACCAAAGAAAAGTATGTGTTTGGGGTTTAAGAGGGAAGATTTGATGCCATAAAAGTAAAAACAAAAAAAAAATGTATGCAATTAGAAACTAGAAGTGGCTACAAAACTCATAAAATTGGCTGGGTGCCAGTGGCTCATGCCTGTAATCCTAGCTACTCAGGAGGCTGAGATCTGAGGATCACAGTTCAAAGCCAGCCTGGGCAGGAAAGTCTGTGAGACTCTTATCTCCCATAAACCACTAGAAAACAAAAGCAGAGCTGTGGCTCAAGCGGTAGAACACTAGCCTTGAGCTGAAGAGCACAGGACAGTGCCCAGGCCCAGAATTCAAACCTCACGACCAACAAAAAAATAAAAAAACTACTTATAAAACTTATTCTGTCTATGAGAAATAAATGTATCCAAGGCCGATGATCAACTTATGATTCAACTAGTTTCCCAGAACTCTAACATACCATACTCAGCTTTGATCTTTAAACGGCTGCTTCAACAACCAAGAGGAAATCCATGTTTTCTTTTAATGAAAAAGACAATGCTCAACTTTTAAAACTGAGGTTAGCATGTTTACCTGCAATGAGGTATATACACCATTGGCTAAGTGAACAGCCTCAGAGGCTTCCATTGGGTTTGGGATGTCTAAGTCCTGCGGCACCAGGTGGCACTGCTTCAGTAACTGAACCAAGCAAGTGACATTCCCACTCATGCTGCACAGCTCCTCTAAAAACCAGGCTCCATCCCGAGACGTCAGGTCAACCAGCTGTTCCCCAGCACTTGAGGCTGCCCCTTCCATCATTAGGTTGCGCCTAAATGGGATAATAAACACGTGCACAGGGAAATGACTCAGTTAAACATATACACAATAGAGGGGGCTAGAGTGGACTTCAAAACCTGAAAAGAAAGCAACGCTAAAAAGATGAAGGAAAATGACAATACCACTTTATATATGGAATTAAAAAGAAAACATGAAATCTTCATAAGGCATCAATTTTTAGGACAATGAAATGGCCCAATATGATGCCAACTCACCTTGTGAGAGTACAAAGCGCAGAAATAATGACACTTGCTAGACTCAAAGATCCTTCTTCTCCATTCTCATGAAGGAAAACTTTAATGCAACGTTCGATTTCTTTCAACTGGTCCTCACAAACGGGCACAGTGACAGCTTCTTGTTTTAAGCGTTCCACTTGTCGGATAAGCCTGCTGTTTATGTCTGCTGCATATCGCTGCAGGGTCATTTCAGTGGCAGTGATGAACTGACACACAGCTGGGGGTGGCTGGGGAGCATACTGCATTTCATATCTATAAAAACAAGAAAGAATTAACATTCATGCTTGGCAAATTATGTAAGACAACTTTGTATTCTATTTCAACTGAAGAGCAGGAATCAAGCTGGAATCAAGCCAATGGGTCAACGCCTGTAATCCCAGCTACTCAAGAGGCTGAGATCTAAGGATCAAGATTTGAAGCCAGCCTGGGCAGGAGAGTCCATGAAACTCTTAGCTCCAATTAAACACCAAGGTGGAACTGGAGCTGTGGCTCAGGCAGCAAAATGCTAGCCTCAAGCAAAGAAAACGTCAGGGACAGCACCCAGGCCCTGAGTTCAAGCCCCAGGACCCACACAGACAGACAGACACGCGCGCGCGCACACACACACGCACGCGCGTGCGCGCGCGCGCACACACACACACACACACACACACACGAGCTGGGGTAAGAATTTTCATTTCTCAGATAAAAGTCTACAGAGTTTAAGCAAATTTCTAAAATGACTTGGTGACCAATATAGTCAAGTTTTGAGTCTAGCTCTCCTTAAACTAATCTCACCACTGGGATATAGCTTAATTAGCAGGGGGAAAAAATTGCCTATAAGGGAAAAAATAGGTTCATATCCTTTTAAAGCTAATACAGCCAGGACTGGTGGCAAATATCTAAAAACCTACTACTTGGGAGGCTGAGGCAGGAGGACAGACCCTGTCTCAAGCATGGAATGGGGGGATGACTCCATTCAGATTTCACCTTTTCAGAGAAAATAATACTGATGTGATTCAAAAATTGAACATTACTGAGACATGGAGGGGAACTGACTGCTGTCAACTTACTTTCTGTAGAGTTCTTGACAACGCTCTACTGTGGTGTTGCAGATAAGCTCTTCCATCCAGGTCTTCCACTGTTCAATTCGGTGTTTCTGAAATATGGCTTTTGGATACTGCAGAGCAACAGTTGCATAGTGATGTAGCTGTTCCAGACAGCCTCGAAGCACCGAGCGTCTCTGCTGCAGAAGAGCGCCAACTTCACCCTCCAGCTGCTCACACTGGCTGATCAGGTGGGCCTGGCCAGCATTCTGCAGAAAGGCTGTTGCTGGCACATAGCTTGGGGGACCTTTTGGTAAAAGACAGTCACATTTCAACTACAGTACAAATTAGAAACACACACACACACACGCACAGGCACATGCACAGAACCCATACCCAGGTATATGCAAAAGAAGCCAACTCATACCAAGGTCCATTTGTGTGCTGATCTCCTGAAGTAAACTTGCAAGCTGTGTTGCTTCTAAATTAGTGAACGCAGCCTGATAATGTGTTATCCACTGTTCAAATTCATTCAGCTTGACCTGGATTGCTTCCTGAACTGCTCTTTGCTGGGTCTGTAGTTGAGTATGTTCAGAATACCTAAGAGGGAAACAATCCAACAACTCACAGATTACCTGCTGCTCATTCTCCTACCTATTTAACAACCTGGATCTTGCTCAGTCAGATGTACAACATCTGCCTAAGTAGCTGCTTTTCAATCTTGACTGAGGGCCCTGCTCAAATGTTCTTTACTCCTCTCAATTTTCCTAGCCCTGTAATTCCCTAGGCTATGCGACGTTTTACATAAATGTATCATATCTGACAGATTTTGAGCTCCTTGAAGGTAGAGAATTGAAGCTTGACAGATATCTGCATGCCTCCTGCTATGCTTGGCACTTGCACGTTCAACTCCAGATTACTGAGCACTGAAACACTGAGCATGTGTGGTAGAAGTACAGTCCCTCAGGTCCCTCAATTTAACTGAATAAGTGTAAAACAATAAAGCAGATAGAAAAAATACCTCTTTACAAATAAGTAAGGACTAAGAGACAACTAGAGAAAAACAAACCTCAGGTTTTATGAACCCAAGTATATTCACTAAACCTACTTATCTACCCTAACTGGTTACACATTTAAGTAAACTGCTGGTTAACACTTTAAAACTAAGGTCCTTCAGAGAACTTTTTCTGACTTTATGAGCTGCTACAGTCTTTTTTTTTTTGTTTTGCTACAGTCATCTTAATTCAAGGTGACCCCCGACCCCCCCCCCCCCCCGGTCGTGGGACCTGAACTCTGGGCCTGGGTGCTGTCCCTCAGCTCTTCAGCTCACTCTACCACTTGAGCCACAGAGCCACTTCTGGCTTTTTGAGCTTATGTGGTGCTGAAGAACCAAACTCAGGGCCTCATGCATGTAAGGCGAGCACTCTACCACTGAGCCACCTTCCCAGTCCCAAAGTGACATTTTACAAACACAAAATCAACCCTGTTTCGAACCTATGTTGTAGCGTGTGTGAAGGATGATCTGCTCCTTCGGCTCCTTCTAGAAACTCTATTTCCTCTAGCAGCTTGCCCTGTAGTTTTTCCACATCCGTCAGCTGCTCTTGTAGGCTGAGATATTCCTCTAAGCTACTGTCCAGCTTGGGAAGCACAACCAGCATCTCATCCCTGTTCTTAAACCAGTTCACCTAAAGAAAGGGTTTATGATTAGGGAGAATCTGGGTCATCAGTGCCTAAATGTTTGTACAAGAATCAAGAAAGGAGGATATGAATGCATTCTTGCCTAAACCTCAACAGAACATGAAAGGAAGATGGCATCACCTCCCTTTCACACACAAAGATAACCAACACATTCATTCAAATTCACACAGCCATTGCTTCCTAAAAGTACATTACACAAAACAAACTGGCATCACCAGCTACAGACAGGGAGGTAAGGTTATTCATCTAGGAAGCACCTGAATTGGTTCCATTGTTTCCCAAATTATTAACCTACCTCTTAAGAGAGGTTATGGAACTATGGATGGGAGCATTGCCTAATAAAGAGATGGCATCAAATTCTCACATTTGACTGTCATTCCAATATTATACACTAATCTTGAAAACAAAATACAGAAAGTATTTTTTTCTTTTTTTTTGGTTGGTGCCAGTACTGAAGTGTGAACTCAGGATGCTCTCACTTGACTTTTTCATTTAAGGCCTGGCCCTCTACCTCTTGAGCCCTTAGCCTGCTGAGTAGCTAGGATTACAGGAATCCACCAGTGCTTTTGTTGTCTTTTTTAAATGGACATATTTACGCTTTTAATAGAAAGGCGTCAGTATCTTATTACATCACTCGTCTTTACCTTTATTTCAGCTACTCTGGAAGAAAAGAGGCTGCGGGTGATCTCTCGCTCCATCTCTCGCTTGCTCTGCTTGCTCTCAGCCTGCTGGCCACCTCCACCATAGACAGCTCCAGCAAACCCAGCCTCGCCTCCTGCTGTCCAGTCCACCAAGGGATCATACACAAAGGCCTCCAGGAGTGTCAGCAAAGTCTCTCGGCCACGCCGCATAATGTGTAGCACCTATTTCAGGAAGAGTCTCAAGTAAGTTTCCTCAAGGAATTTAAAAAATTTTTCTTCTCTTTTGTGCTGGTATTGGGGCTCCAACTCAGGGCGTAGGTGTAGTCTCTCAGCTTTTTTGCTCAAAGCAAGCACTCTACCACTAGAGCCACAACACAGTTCCACTTCTGGCTTTTTTGTAGTTCAACTGAAGACAAGAGGGACTTTCCTGCCTAGGCTGGCTTCAAACCATGATCTCAGATGTCAGCCTCCTGAGGAGCTAGGATTACAGGGGTGAACCACCTAGATCCTGACATTTTTAAATTTTTCATTCAACAGGTCTCCTTCATTTAATAGATACAGTACAATAGGAGAAGAGAAAAAAACTGCATACCTGCTCACAAGAAAGCCTAAAAACACCTTCTACTCCAGTAACACCAAGTGCAGTTTCAATGTTTTGTGTCATTCGGAAAGGGACTTTCTCAGGAACTCTAAGGCTTTTACCTTGAAAAGACAAATTGTTATACTTTGGCTGTTACACTGAAATTATCTGACCCTCCTGTAGAAGTGCAAGTCCACTTCGACCTTACCTTTTTCAAAGCACACATTGTAATCTATGTGGACCACTTCTCCAGTCGTCATATCTATGAGGACATTGTCCAAGTGTCTATCTCCAAGTCCAATAATGTAGCCAACCATAGACATGACAGCAGTAGATCTTGCATAAGACTACAGAGGCAGGGAGTAAGGGAAGCATCATTAATACTATAGTCCTCCCTATGCTCTACTGTGGACAGAAGCCTACCCCTGATCTTAAAACAGACAACACAGAAGTGCTCCTCAAGACTCCTGCAGAGCTCAATGTGTTCATACAGCTCTGTGAGCTCAGCGCCCTGGCTGCAGCTAACCTGCACTGGGGGATCCTCCAGGTGCTGTGTAAGCATCAAGATGCTAGGTTTTCAACTATTTCCCTTCAACCTCCATTGATAGCCTCCTCCCCCCTCCCCTTGCCCCCCCCCCACACATACACCTAAGATTTTATTTTTTGCCACTTCATCGAGCAACCTGCTCTTTCCTGCCTTTATATACAGACATGGCTACAACTTTTTAACTGTAAAGTAAGATTCATATACAGGTTTCAAACTACCAAGTCTTTATTTAGGGACAGAGGGAAGAAGAGGAGACAAACCAGACAAACAAGAAGACATGGTTATAGTCGAAACCCAACATACCTGTGTGACTCTCCACCATTCGTCAGGGGTGGTACAAGATGACCAAAGCTCTTTAGCCAGGAGATTTGGGGGTGTGGCCTCCATTAACTCCTCCAACACAGCCTTCATCACATGTAGGGGCCAGTCCCGACGGGATACATCCAAGCTAAGACCAACAGTTTTCAGAGCTGGGCCAATTTTACTATAGTAAAGTTCACTAGGACGGGGTACAATGCCAGGATTCTGAGGTGTCTGATAGGAATCTTGAGCCTTAAAAAACATACACACACACACATTAGAAAAAATAAGACAAAAATTATTCCAAATGTGAAGTAGTATTTTATTCCTTTCTCTTTTTATTTTGAGGCAATGTAATGCTCTACACTACAGCTCAGCCTGGCCTTGAACTTGAGATCCACCTGCAGTAGCCTCCTGGTTCTTGGATCATGAGTGTACTACCACACCAGTGAGTAGCTTCTATGCACAACAAGGAGCCTACAGAACAATTAACAATGTGACTCTGGTACCAGAGCGACAGGTCTTGCCTTGCTCAAGTATGTTTCACATGTGTCAGATTTTGAGCTTTAGCACCATAAAAACATTAAAGAAGAAAACAGACACCTTCTAAAGGTGTCTTCCTATACCTACCCCTAATTGTAAGCATTTTTTTGTGATGAGGCTAACACTATATAAATTTACTTAATATCCTGAGCACTTACATCTAGATCCTGACACATATTAATAACTCAGCTGCTAAAACAAACCTTAACTCCTAGTCTAAATCAAATTACAAAATCCACAATATAGAGTAAGACTAATTCTACCCTTAAAGTTTTACATTTACCAATTTAAAAATATATGGGTCTCAAAGTTTTTTGATTACTTGAACATCTAAAGACCTTCATAATACTAATGAAAGCATAGAGATGTGAAATACTAATTACTGAGCAGTTGATAACCACAACCAGTCCAATGGCATTTGTGCATCTCAAACATTTATTTTTATAAAACATACTTCCAGAAAACAAGTTTGGTTAAAACAATCAGTCACATTTCTCTGGTCTATCCTTTCCTTAAATTTTTTTTTTAAATGGCAAAAATATTGTGTTGCATGCATATCCTTTTTTTTTTTTTACTCTGTTCTAGGAAGGGAAGAGCCACCTCAGTGGCTTCTAAGGCAAGTACGCTCCCATCACCTCAATTACTTTAGCAATCTTGGTTCCCTTAGCTTCTGCTACATTATGCAGAGCTAGTGATCGAGTTTGCACTATTTGTGTTTTGTTTTGGGGTTTTTTTTTTGGGTCTGGTCCTGGAGCCTGAACTCTGGGCCTGGGCGCTGTCCCTTAGCTCTTCAGCTCAAGGCTAGCACTCTTACCACTTGAGCCACAGCGCCACTTCCAGCTTTTCTTTTTGCTTATGTGGTGCTGAGGAATTGAACCCAGGGCCTCATGCATGCAAGGCAAGCACTCTACCACTAAGCCACCTTCCCAGCCCCCTATTTGTGTTTTTAAAAGAAAAAATCCTAAGTCCTGCAAAAAATGGCTTGTATTTCCAAGAACCAGCGAGTCACATCTATATAATCTTACCTACTCAAAAAGCTGAGATCTGAGGAACACAGTTCAAAACCAGCCTAAGACAGTAAAGTCCATAAGACTCTTTTCTCCAATTAAACATCAAAACCTGAATGTGGAGCTATGTATCAAGTAAGTGGTAGAAGCCAGCCTAGAGTGAGAAAGCTAAAGGACAGTACCTAGGCCCTCCTATGAACACCAAAAAATACCAAAAAGGTTTGTACTAAACTTTTACATTTGAAATAAGAACTGTTAAACATGACAAAAATCCTCCACACACCCCCAAATCACTTTCCAACGAACCTCAAGTGTTTCCTGCTTTAATGCTTAATAAACATGCAAACATGTTCAAGTATAGTCTAGAAATATTCCACAAAACTACTGAACATGTTAATGAACCTGCATAAAAACATTCAAATGAAGCTATGCATATTGTAATGTTGCTAACCTTTTGTGCTTGCAAGGCAGCTTCCCGCTGTTGCCATCGCTTGTAAAGACCAAATAAGGGTGTGGCTCCATCCACCCACTGGATCAGCCCTGACCTTGTGCCCAGTGGTGTTACCGAATAGTGTCGAGCATGGAAACGGGGTGTTTCCTGGCGATTGATCGTAGCGAACATGGTATTCACAATAGATAAGAACTGCATTATCCTCTCATCCAGATGTAAATCCTCCAGTCCTATGAAATTAAAAAAATGTTGCTGGGGTAGGTAACTAAATGAAGTCAAAGTATATCACTTCCTATGTTTTCAACAACAAACAGAACAATAAGGCGTATATCACTTCCTATGTTTTCAACAACAAACAGAACAATAAGGCACACTTGAGTAAATTAGAAGATTCTACAGGAATTAGCATTATGCACCATGCCTCAGTTCTGCTTCTAATGGTTCACATGCAAAAGGGGAGGGGAGGGAATCTTGCTACACCCATCAAACCAGTGCTGTTCAAACTACCCCATGTAGTTACAGGACATACAGCAAATCACCAGGATAAACTTCTCAAAACACTCACACAGGGGCTGGGAAGGTAGCTCAGTGGCAAAGTGCTTGCCTTGCATGCATGAGGCCCTTGGTTCAATTCCTCAACATCACATAAGCAGAAAAAGCCGGAAGTAGCACTGTGGCTCAAGTGGTAGAGTACTAGCCTTGAGCTGAAGAGCTGAAGGACAGTGCCCAGGCCCAGAGTTCAGGCCCCACGACCAACAAACACACACATACACACACACAAGACTAACACTTTTCTTTAAAATGAAGTTAAGCCCTACCTTTGAAAAGGTAAGGATAGTTCTTCCCATCTGATCCTAGAAAGAGAAGTTTCTTGGGTTTGGTTTTAGTTGGTAAAATTGTAATGGTTCCACCCACGCTGTGGATTGTGACTGTGTCTCTGGCTGAGACTTCCCCAGGAAGAGCAATTTCAGTGTTAGTCATGGCAGCCAACCATGGGCTGATTTCTTCAAGGCGTAATATGTAACTTGCACGTTTCTGGGCTCTCTGCTGCAAACTCAGCATTATCTATACTCATAAGATGGGAAAAATAAGTCTATGTTAGGATTGTAACATATTTCCTTCCACACTGATTTTACAGCCCTACACATAACTGCTGCTGGGAATATGGATCACTTGGGAGGTGAAACAACAGGACGTATCCTGCTATGCTCTGTATGATTCCCATTTGATACGATCCTTCACTTCCTCCTCTGTCCAAATAACCAATATAATCAGGGAGACAGAATAAAATTACCACTGTAGTCACAAATTCCGTATTTTAGTCCTTACTTACTATGCCCAACAATGCCAAGACAAATCAATGTGGCCCTCCTAATGGAGCAAAAGAGATAGCTAGCAGCCACACTCACTCTTAGGAAGCCAATTTAAAAGACATTCACATTAAGTTTTAAGGAAAAAGAAATGAGGCTTTACCTACTCTTATTTCATTGAAGAGAAAAAAGAAAGCACATCAGGAAAGAATTTGTTTGTAAGAATTTGTTTGTTTCTGAGACAGTCTTCTAATGTAGCCCTGGGTGGCCTTAAACTCAAGATCCCCCAGCCTCCACCTCACAAGAGCTGAGATTACTGGTATGTGCCACCATACATGGCTTTAGGTAAGAATGCTTCCAATAGAAAAGTAAACACAGCTCTGATTACTTAAAGTATGCTACGAACTACAATCCCTTCTAATAATCACAGGGAACAATAGATCAGATGTCCAACAATGTCCCTACTCAACAAACTGCATCTGAATTAATGAACAGTGGGGCTTTGGCCTTGTGAAAATTATCAATGCAATCTTTAGCAAACTTGTTCATAAAAACAAGTAACTGGCAATCCCACAAGTATCAAATGACAGAAGAATAAACAGTGGAACTTTCACATAATCACTGTTTAGTTACATACAACACATGGATGAGGAGTTGGGGATATAGTTCACTGGTAGAGGACCTTACCAACATGCCCAAGTCCCTTAGGTCCAACACACACACACACGCACGCACGCACGCACGCACGCACGCGCGCCTTTTTTCAGACTACTTTATACCTCTTTAAATGGAATCCAGCTGCTTCCAGGCTTTGCAGGGTTTGATGAGGTCTTCAGCTTTTACACACACACACACACACACAGCCTTTTTTCAGACTACTTTATACCTCTTTAAATGGAATACACACACACACACACACACACAGAGAGCCTTTTTTCAGACTACTTTATACCTCTTTAAATGGAATCCAGCTGCTTCCAGGCTTTGCAGGGTTTGATGGGGTCTTCAGCTTTTCCAGGGCATTTTCAATGGCTTCACCATAGTTATCCTGAAACCACTTTTCATGGGGTGTTTCTGCAGGGGCTGCTGTGATACTCCTCACATGCTCCAAGGCAAACACAATGGGCTTCATCAGAGCTGTGTGCTTTTCCCGCATGATGGCAATTTTCTCTTCTCTATGCAGCAAGACATTTATTCAGAAAGTTACCATAATTCAAGTTTTACAACAACTGAAATACGTTGCAAGTATGTGTGGAAACTTAACTCTGAAATCCCTTCCTAGATAACTAATGTAAGCTAATTAAAAGAAAGCTTTCAACAAATGTGACATACTTCAAATTTATATAGTATGAGTAAACAGTACCAAAAATAAATATAAACAGAGTAAAATATTGGCAAAGTAACCTACTAACACAGTAGTGTGAAAAATAACTCTGCCTATAAGAAAGCAGCTTTTTTTTTCTCTCTCTCTCTCTCTTTTTTTTTGTCAGCCATGGGGCTTGAACTCTGGGCCTGAGCACTCTGGGCTAGCGAGCGCTCTACCACTTGAGCTACAGCACCACTTCCGGTTTTCTGGTGGTTTATTGGAGATAAAGAGTTCACGGACTTTCCTGCCCGGGCTGGCTTTGAAACCCAATCCTCAGATCTCAGCCTCCTGAATAGCTAGGATTACAGGCGTGAGCTACCAGCGCCCAGCTAGCAGCTTCTCTTTTCAATACTGTTAGGCAAACACAGGCTATCTGCATGGCAAAAATCTGAAATAGGCTCTTACCCTTAAATCATAACCAAACATGACTCAGAATGGAAAAATGACCTAGACTTGAGACTTTTAGAACTCTTGGAAGTGAACATAAAGGGGAAGGCTCTGTGACACCAGATTCCTTGGATATAGCACCAAGAGGAATAACAGATTAAGCTGAACTTTAAAACATTTGTATACCAAGAGAACGAAAAGACAACCCAGAGGTGTAGAAAAGTATTTTCAAATCTCCTATCTGATAAGGAGCTAATAACCAGATCCTAAAAAGGATTTCTGTAACTCAACAACAAAATCACAATCTAATTAACAGCAACAGTCTTCTCCAGAGAAGATTCACCACCAATAATGAGCAACACATGAAAAGATGCTCTGTATCTAAGTCATTAAGAAATGCAAATCAAACCCACAACGAGGTACCCCATCATACCTATTAGGAGAGTATTAACAAAAATGCCCAGAAAATGAAGAAGGAGAAAGAGGTAAACAAGGGCCATATTAGTCTTAAGTGGAAAAAACAGTGTTGAATAATTACTGTGTGCTTATTTGGGCTAAAGAATAAATTGTACAAATCCTAATGGTGGCATAGTATTGTGAATGTAGGTACAGTTAAAAGTGGCTATGACGGCCAGATGCCAGTGGCTCAGGCCTATAATCCTAGCTACTCAAAAGACTGAGCAGCTAAGGATCAAGGATCAAAGCCACCCCACCCAGGCAGAAAAGTCCATGAGACTCTTATCTCCAATAAACTACTCAGAAAAAGCCAGAACTGGCACTGTGTCTCAAATGGTAGAGAGCTAGCCTTGAGCAAAAAGAGGCTCAGGGACAGAGTCCAGACCCTGAGGAGCTCAAGCCCCAGGGCCAACAAAAGCAAAACTAGCTAGGATGATAAATAGATTGCAAGTTGTTTTTGTTTTTGTTTTTTTTTTGGGGGGGGAGTCCGGTCATGGGGCCTGAACTCTGGGCCTGGGCACTGTCCCTAAGCTCTTCAGCTCAAGGCTAGCACTCTACCACTTGAGCCACTGCGCCACTTTCAGCTTTTCTTTTTGCTTATGTGGTGCTGAGGAATCGAACCCAGGGCCTCATGCATGCAAGGCAAGCGCTCTACCACTGAGCCACCTTCCCAACTCCAGATTGCAAAATTAAAAAAAAAAAAAAAAAAGCCAAGAGGCTTCATCTTCTGGGCAAAAGTGGAGGAAAACATACTTGCGTAAGGTGTTGTTGTTCTGGACTCGCTTCACCTCATCTTCCAGCTGCTGAATCCGTCTCAGGACATACATGTGCTGTTGTAACAAAACTCCCAGCCAAAGCTCGTCCCAGAGCACAGTGACCCTGCGCAGCTCTGCCACCAGCATCTGGACCTGCGTACATAGCACCCCCACTCAGCTTGGCTCAGCTCAGCTCACATGCAGTTCTCCAAACACTGGCACTACAAGTTAAATGCTCACTAAAGAATTACAGACCCTCCTCCAACTAGATCCACAAAGATAAATAAAACTAAACTTGATAATCCTTAAAGCTTTGTTTCTCAAATATTATTTTCAAGTCAGTCTATATGAGCATTATTTTTAAGGCTTTTAGGGGTAGAGTACATAATGAAACTTTTTAAAACATGCAAGTTTGTTTTCTTTGTACCTGTAACACCATAGTAGGGTTTGCAGAGGACAGCTTATCCACAATTTTGCTGTAGCAATCCTGCATCATAGCTTGGTCTTCATTTAATCCACTCTTCGGTTCATCCTTGTTGCTATCCTGAGAAGCAGGAGGACTTCCTCCCTCACATTCTGAAACCAGCAATTCTTCTCCTTGAATATTTCCAAGTAAGGTTGGAATTGCAGATGAAAACTTGTTTCCTATAGTGGAATGGGCAAAGGAGATAATCTGGGTGTCTCTACTATGAGCACATGCTGTTACAGAAAACATGCATCATCTATTGGCCTTCACACAAGTCATTTAACTTAGTTTCCTTCTGTGCATTAAGACAACTAAGAATATGGATATTCTGCCATTTTACAGATTTATAAACATTAAACATTACAAGCCTGAAAAAGACCTGCAGGAAGATGGTAAGTTTCTAACAAATCAGGTGTTCTCCTAATCTAGAGTTTGACCTAATCCTTAACTGTTCCATGGGCCTGAACTGATGCGAGAAATTCCATTTCTCCCTGGGTTTGTGGGTCACAGTTAAGACTGAAAATAACATGTAAAACAAGATCCTAGGAGCAGATATACAGCAGTTTAGCCCTTCAGTCAATAATTCTTACTTCCAACTCTAGAACACAAATCTTAAAAACCATAATGTATACATAAAGCAGAATATTCAGCATTGCCTACCAGATGCCTGGGATTCGCTGCTGAGTGAGATGGTCCCTACTATTGCAGGGTACAATATGAGATGGGGAGAATCTTGAGCTACACGGCATAGGAGGTTGCAAATACTCTGACGCACATATACTTCAGGGTGATTTAAGCGTGAGAAAAGCTGTGGAATAATTCCTTCAGGATAAGAAAAAAAGGAAAAAAGTCATTAAATCCTGTCAATATACTGGATGCCAAAGGTTAAAACCTGGTGTCTGTCTGTATCAGAACAAATTTTAAAGTACTCAAAGTTGCCCCTATGATAGCAAAGAACTACATAGAATAGCTCTTGATTTCTAAGTTTGGTAGGATATAAACCTTTAATCAAAAAGTGTCCTAGAGAAATGGATTTTCAACAAATGCTTACAAAGAAGGCAGATACAAATACTTTTACAAAGGCTAAGCAAAGAATCTTTTTTAATTTACTTTCATCGCCATCTTCTCACTCTGTGGAAAGGTTAGAGGGATGGAAGGTCTTCGTGATAACAGGCAGTCCAGGACACCCTATAAACATGGCTATTCTGCAACACATCTAATAACGTGTAAAGTAACTACTCTCTTTTCTTGGCTCATATGTCCACCTCGGAAACAATATTCTCTGATGCATTTTTATTTAGGACTCACCTCTCCATGGGGCAGTAGGTGTTGTTTCCAAACCGTGCTCTAGGTACTGTCGGAGCTCACCAGCATGCTTCACAAGCAACCTGAGCAGTCGCAAAGTGGCCATTACAATCACATCGTCAGTGCTCTGCTCTGCCCTGTGACTCAAATGTAGCCTGGGGTCATCCTCATCCAAAGGAATCTGACAGTGAAAGATTAAGGGAAGAAAGGTCTTTTTCTCACCCTTGTTTTTGTAATAAAAAGAATATCTAGTACAAATGATTTCCTAGAGCATAATGCCACTTACCTGACCAGCGTTGAGCTTAAGGAAGGTAAAATATGCACTACAAGACAATTTGTACAGGCTGAAGATTCTATCCACAACTTTCCTCCACACTTTTATAACGCCTTCAGTTGCACTTTCATCGAGCTCAGAAAGCCATGGGCAGCTTGAAAGTAACTGCCGCCAGATTACATCGACCATGTCATCTTCCTCATTATCTTCATTCTCTGTTATCTGAAGTGTTATATCCTCATCCTAGAGAAAAATTGGACATAAAATGGTGATTTTTTTAAAAAGTAAGGTAATCATAAAAAGACATATTCCACAGTATTACTGCTCCATTCACTCAGTCCACGTCAATAGGCTTCTTTGTATTTACTAATGAATGCAATGAAGGATTTAAGCAAAGACTGAGTTGTTTGAACTTTAAATACTTCTAAATTACAAGATTCTGACCGAAGAGTAAATATACTATATTCGTAAAGTTTAAAGCTAACAGGATAGTGAATATGAACAAGCCTTCCTTTCTCATACCGCATACATACCTAGCACCTGCTTTGGCAGAGACTTATAGATGCCACTGTTTAGGGAAGAACTCACTCATCAGAATTTAGCCTGACAAATGAAATCCAGGATTCTGAAGACTACAACTGAATATGCAATAGAATTCAAGAACTGATGTCTTGGGTCAGAGAGGGAGGGAATACTACTCATCACTTAGTCATCGGTCTTCACTCTGGCTATTTTGAGAATCACCAACACACATGCATAAGCACCATGCAGAATCTCTAGGGGTAAATTCTAGGGGTTTAACAGCTCCCAATCTAGGGTAAAGAACCAGATCCCACCTCCACCCCCCATTTCCAGTGCTGAGGTTTGAACCTAGAGCTTCACACATGCTAAGTATACCCCTCTACCACTGAGCTGCACCAACCCCAGAATCTAATTTCTGATCATAGAGTAATTAAGAGATGTAATTTATATAAAATGAACGTCGCCTAGTTTTCAAAGGCCCCTAAGGAAATAACTTGATTTCTCAAGAAACTATGTTCTTAGGAAAAAATTAAACTTTTTTTTTCCCCCAGTTGTGGGGTCTGAACTCTGCGCCTGGGCACTATCACTCAGCTCTTCAACTCAAGGCTAGTGCTCTACCACTTGAGCCACAGTGCCACTTCCGACCTCAAGCATGCAAAGTAAGCACTCTACCACTAAGCCACCTTCCCAGCCCAAAACTATTTTTTTAATCTTAAAATTCCAAAGTTTATATTTGCAATGGTAACTGCCTCATTCAATAAAGTAGGACAGACAACCAATGAGTGGAATGGCAACCTTGCCACCATCGAACACCAACACAGATGTGTCTTCCTTGCCTGAATTCCTGCTGGTCGACACACAGCCTGTCCAAGAATACCATATATTCTCTCTCTCTCTTCTTCAGTTACAGAATCTGGAAGCAGATTTTGAACTTCTGATTTTTCTCTAGGCAACAGACGAACACCTTCTCCCTGACTGTAAAAATAAACAAATCATCAAATATTTCAACTACTTCAGTATCATCAAATTATTAGACATTCTAATAATGCATTGAATTCCACATTGAACTCTACGTACCTGGCATTGTCAACCACCTTCCTGCCCCACCGATAAGCCCAACTAGCCAATGCTGCCCAGGATTTGGCAACTTCAGGTGCCTGTACTGATGACAGATGATATAACTGTCCCAAAATGAAGTCAGGTTCTCCAACTCCAATATGCACTGTCATGATGGGGGGTGAGAGGAGGAGGAATGAAAGAATTCACAGCATTACATATAGAAATTTCTGACATTCCCATCAAAATTTTAGGTCTTTGTTATCTGCGAGCAATCAGTAATTTCCATAATTTGATTAACTTTCAAATTTAGATAGTGCTTTTCTAAAATTTTAGTATGTTAAAATCAGTAACTTGGCATTTTCCAAGTAATGCTTGGTTCAGCAGTAGTAGAACACATCTCTTATAACAATAAACTTTAGCAACAGTTCAGTTTTTAAAAATGTCAGAGTATGTCTCACATTCTACATTTCAATGGACATTTCTTCGTGACTAGGTTATTTTAAACATTTTTGGCAAAAATAATGAACAAGTGCTGAATATATTATTCAGTAAGTCTCATTAAGCAGAAATCTTTATTTTCTAGAGAAAGAAAGTACCTTCCACAGTGCATTTGCCAAGATTTACAATGAATGTAAAACGTGTTCTTTTATGAGTGCCAAGACCTGATAGCACATGTTAGAATTATAAGACCAATCTAAGTCAGTCAAATCTTATGTTTTAGTACAACAAAATAATTGGTACATGCTTCTCATGTTTCAGGAAAGAATTATCCCCACAGTATACAAACAAGAAATCCAAAATTTCTTGGACTGTGGATCCAGCTCAGAACCCACTTACATACTATGAGGTGATCCTGCATCAATTCCTACCAGGAGGAGGAGGAGAAGGGGAGAAGGAGGCCAAGGGGAAAAAAGAGGAAGAAGAGGAGGAAGAGGAGGAGAAAGAAGGAAGAGAAAGAGGAGCAAGAGGAAAAGGAAAAGGAGGAGGAGAAAAAAAGAGGAGGAGGAAGAATTTTGACTGAATTAACTACCTGTCAGTTTTTGTTCAGTAGTACCAGTGTTAGAAGTCAGGTGCTAATCATTCATACTGTACTCCTAACTGCTCAGGAGGCTGAGACTGGAGAGCTAAAGGATCATGATTCAAAGCTAGCCTGGACAACAAAGTCCTTAAAATTCCATCTCCAAATAACTAGCCAAAAGCTGGGCTGGAAGCATGGTTCAAATGGGAGAGTACCAGATAAGAGGTGGGGGTAGGGGGAAGGTGTGCATATGCATAGACACACACAAGCACACACATCACCCTGAGGATTAAGAAACCTGTACTTCAACATTCTAGGCCACACAGGCTATGCTATATCTTCATTGGGGTATCAGAGGCAGGACCTTACTTCCAACAGAAACCTCATTTCAGTCACATTGTTTTCCATGGCCAGCATTACATTATAAATTTCAGCCTTACAAATTAGTATTTTTCAAGAAAGGAAAAGAATATCTTAATGTTTTTTTCTTTCATGCATGTGTTTCTAACGCATTTATAAGATTATCTCTTTGTTGCTTTGTATGTCCCTCCCCACAGTGACCCCTGCTTTCACTATATTTGATGTCAGTATAACTTGAGGAGGAGATGGGAAAAACCAGTTGTTTAAAGATACAGGTGGACCTGTTGCAACAATGAGAAGTACAAGTTGTCATGTTCAAAACGAGCTTTACAACGTTGGGGGGGGGGGAAGGTGGGGATGGAGAAAGATTGGGATTGGGGGGGAGGGGGGAGGCTGGGAAGGGATGTGAAGGGTAAACAAAAGGAGGAGGCTGCAATGCTTGGTAAGAAATGTACGCACTATCCTGCCCATGTAATTGTAACCCCTCTGTACAGTATTTTCACAAATAAAAAAAAAAAAAAAAAAAGAAAGGAAAAGAACAAATGCTACCTGTCGACTCACTCTCGATCCGAGGGTACTCTTCCTCAATCGTGTTGACAGTGGGCAGCTCTATTAAAGTGAGTATGTTTTTCGATAGAGTAGAAAGACCTGAGGTGTTCTGCTGCTGTTGTGCTCTGTAGACCTGCTTCAGCTGTCCAGATATCTCTTTCCATTCAGCCTGGATCCATTTAGCTAGCGTCAGAATTGATTTAGCAACTGCATATTCAGCTTTGGCAGATTTGCAGAAAGACAGAGCACAAGAACTCAACATCTCCATCGCATGAGTTGATTGGCCTGAACCCAGCAAACAAAAAAGACAATTTACCCTTAAAAGCAAATATAATTATTTCACAGCAATACAATGTTTTGCTCTAAAAAAAAAAAAGGTAATTCAGTAATAATCAGTAATTTCTGGAAATAGTTCTTACTTATACACTGTGATAATTAGCATATATTAATTAAAATTAGCATATATTAGATATTTACTTCCTTTTAAAAGCACTGAATTACATGTCAGTTACAAAACAACTCGGGAATTAAACCTTCTGCAGCAACTGAAAATTCTCACTTTTTCTATTATAAGTCAGACAGATTTTTACTATACTGTATATTTTACTAACCTGCTGTATACAACAGTTTGGTTTTCTCAATATCAAGTTCAGGCCCCCATTTTTCATCTACTTGGCCTTGAGTTGAGAGTTTTTTAAAATGCTGGACTAAGTCCTGGGCAGTGGTCGTCTTTCCCAGTTGAACCTTACTGCACTGTGCCAGCAGTCTTGTCGCAAGCGACACATTCCCCCGTTTTCTAGCAAACTTGGCTGCTGTCAGGCCTAACTCCATGAGATGGCTTCTAATTGGGACTGTTTGCTCTGGAAAAAGAAAAGGTTTCATCAGTCCCCAATTCCACTTCATTAACTCACTGAAAAGACAGGAGCAAGTATTGGAAAAATAAGATCTACAACATTCACTATACAAATAATATGGAAAATACAGATAAGACTATGAGATACAACTACACCCACTCTCAGTGATTGAAACTTAATAAAAGACTAAAATTACTAAGACCAACAATAGCAAAGGTTTAAAAAAACTGAAACCTTCATAAGATGCAAAATAATACAAACGTAACACCACCTTTTTTGGGGGAGGAGGGGTCATGGGGCTTGAACTCTGGGCCTGGGTGCTGTCCCTGAGTTCTACTGTTCAAGGCGAGCGCTCTACCACTTGAGCCACAGTGCCACTTCGAGTTTTCTGAGTGGTTTACTGGAGATAAGAGTCTCCCAAGTTTCTTGGGCCAGCTGGCTTTGAACTGCGATCCTCGGATCTCAGCCTAATGAGTAGCTAGGATTACAGGCATTTTTTAGGTTTTCGTTTTGCAGTAGTGAAGTTTGAACTCAGACCCTGTTGGCTAGGCAAGTACTCTACCAGCTAGTTTTGCTTCATCTACTTTTCAGATACTGTCTTGTGATTTGTCAGAGGCTAGCCTCCAACAACCCTACACTTGGGATTACAAGCTTAAACCTCCAATCAACCTGTTTGTTGAGATGGAGTCATAGTAACTTTTTGCCTGGCTGGGCCTTGAACTTTGGTCTTTCAGATCTGAACCTCCCAAGTACCTGGGATACAGACATAGGCTTCTACAAACAACCACTTTAGAGGAAAGTGGCAAACTATTAACCAAGTTAAGCCATGTGACCTAACAATCTGTCTCCTAGGATTTATTTTATAAAAAAAAAAAAAAAAAACCACAACCCAAAGACTTGCACATCAACATTTATTGCAGCTTCACTTAACTGCCCAATGAGAAAAACACAATAAAAACATTCATCAGAGAAGGAAGAGTTGAATGGTAGTATACAACAAAAAGACCAACCTTACTGATAGCTTTAACGTAAGTGAACCTGAAAAGTAAGCTAAGCAAGAGAAGGTGGACAGAGACCAGATAGCTGTATGATCCCACCACACTTTACACTTGTAATTTATGTATCAATACAGCTACTTTGAAGAACAAAACATTTTACCTTTGATTTTCTCCAACAACTGATTCTGGTACATGGTGTACCTCAATGCCTGCATCCAGGGCCTCACATCATGCTGCTTGCAGGAGCGCAAAGCCTCACTGTACAGTGGAATCAGACAGTCCTGACAGAGGAAACAGACCCTGTGTAACATGCTCCCCTCAGGTCTGCAGCCACACTGCTAGTATAAGCAGGCCCAAGTATAGAAGGGCAGCTTCAGATTGATTCATTTTCCTATCCCCCTCCACCTTATCATTATTACAAGAGACAAATACACTCCAAAAGACAGCCTGCTTTGCAACATAACTTTGGAATATTAAATCTAACTTACCAATATACTTACCAAGAAAGTAAATACATTTTTATTTTAATAATGCATTTTACAAAAAAAAGTGCATTTACTAAATAAATTTAAATATTATGCCTAAATATCTTTACATATGCTAATCCTTTACATCAAAAAAGAAAAACTTTAATGTGACAATTAGTCATCCTTGAAATGCTCTTAGATTCTTCCATCTGCCCCCCACATCTCAAATGAAAATCTTCCTGCAGATAGGTTATTCAGTAACTTGTTCAACTATAAATGCTATTTTAAAAACTGAAAGAATAAGGTCTTTGGTTCTATACTTAGGCCAATTACTTACCGTCCCCAAGATATGCTTACAAAACACATTTGTACTTACCTCTGTTGAAAGTCGATTAGCAACTGTGTTCTCCAAAGCAGAAGAGCAATATAACTGTAAGGTACTCAGGACCGGCAAGGACTGGGAAACTGTTAATGTAGACAATCTCAGTGGTCCAATAGCTATGCGAGAGGTTTGCTTCAAGTACTTTACCACATTTCTGAAAGAAATATTTACCCCAATTAATTAATGAGATTGCGCAACTACAAAGTACTAAATGTTCAAGGGAAAGTGACAAGCCTGCTCCACATTAAAAGGATCTAAGTCAGACATTTGCTCTGAAGGATTTTTTATATTGTTTAGTTTTTATCTCAGTCTGTTTTGACAAGTGGCAATCATAATGACTTCTACAACTATCAAGCCTATCAGTAGTAGTGATTCAGCAACTGCCTCTTCCCAAGTGCTCCTACTTCTGCATGTGTGTATAAATTTACCATATATAATGCAGATTTTACTTCCTGAACATTGAACTTACTAACAAGATGCCAGTAGCTCCTAGCTACTTAGAAGGCTGAGATCTGAGGACTGAGGTTCAAAGCCAGCTGGGGCAGAAAAGTCTGTAAGACTCAAATCTCCAATAACTTCTTTTTGAAAAAGAAGTGGAGCTATGGTTCAAATAGTTGAGCATAGACTTCAATGAAAAAGCCAAGAAGAGTGCAAGAGGCCCTAAGTTCAAACCCCAGTACCAGTACCAAAAGATAAAAATAAATAAGACTGAACTTACTCAGTTATAGACTGCCACTTCTGATCCTGTTCTATGTGGTTTAAAGCAGTTGCCAAACAAACAGAACTTCTCAACAACTGAACTTCAATGGACTTCTGAAGTTCCCTTGGATCCGGACTTAACATATTAGGAAGTAGTTTTTTCATATCTAAAAAAATTAAATTTCATTACATAATTTTCTTTTGATGTTCAAGAAAGAATTTATCTTGGCAATACTTAAACAATGATCAATAAATATCTTTCATTTGTAAATTCAGGTCACTAAACACTGTAATTAAACATATTTAGTAGATAGCTAAACACCATTATCTCATATAAAATTTCTCTTTGAGGGCTGGGAATGTGGCTTAATGTGCTTGCCTAGCATTCATGAAGCCCTGGGTTCTATTCCACTACTGTAGAGTGCTAGCCTTGAGGCAAAATTAGCTCCGGGACAGTACTCAGGACAGTGCTCCTGAGTTCAAACCTCAGGACTGGCCAAAAAAAAAAAAAGAAAGAAAGAAAGAAGAAAGAGGACAGAGGAGGAGAGAGGAAGAGAAAGAGAAGGAGGGGGAGGAGGAGGAAGAGGAAAGAGAAGAGAAAGGAGGAAGAGGAAGAGAAAGAGGAAGAGGAGGAGGAAGAAGAGGAGGAGGAAGAGCAGGAGATGGTGAAGGAGGAGGAACAGGAGGAAGAGGTGGAGGAGAAGAAACCAGGAATAGAGATGTGGCTCCAAGTGGTAGAGTGCTAGGTTTCTGCAAGTCAGGGTCAGCGCCCAGGCCCCAAGTTCAAGCCCCACAACTGGAAAAAAAAAATTCCTCTTGTGTTCCTAAAACTCATTTGATTTTAAAGGCTCAAAAATCAGTAAGCTACCTACAATTTAAAAAGACAAATCTTGATCAATGTTGGCAAATCTTACTAGATCTTCAAAATCAAGGCAAACAGAATACTTCTATTCCTACATACTATAACATTTTTAGAAAATGTGATCAAGATCATAATTAGTGAGCCACATCAAGATAAAAATCAAGGAAAATATTTAACTGAAATGCTACTTTATACTTTTCCAAATAAAATGTCTTTTAAAAAAAATCTCAAAGTAGCTTTTTCCTAGTTTACTTAATTTTAAGAAAATTATTTTTCATTTCCCAAATCATATGCTAATAGACAAACTATATTTATGGCTTCCCATGGGATTCTGCATACTTCCCCCAAAGAAATGTACACCAACTTCCAATTTTTCTAGTAAAATATACTAGAAACTCATCCACTGAACAAGCTGACTTTGGCCAGCTGTAGTGGTGCAAACCTGTAATGTCAGCACTAGTTAAGGAGTCAGGAGTTCAGTGAGTATGAGGTCAGTTTGGGCAACACAGACCATGTCTTAAAAACAAAACAACAAAAAACAAACCACACACACACATACACACACACACATTCTCTCTCTCTCTCTCTCTCTCTCTCTCTTTAAAATTATTTTCTCAAATACCTATTTTTTCTTTTGATCCTCCAGCAAGAAGATTAATGTTTTCTCCTGGTAACAATTCTAGTTGCTCAGTGCATTCAACAAATTCTCCAGACTCAAAACTACTTAGTGACCTGTAATTAAAATATTGGTCAGTTTGTGTTCTATCCTCTCCAGCCTAAGGAACCATTCAATGAAAGAACTCCACAGTTTGAGAAATTGCCTTCAGATCTGCCATCACTTTTATTTTGAAGGCGTGACTACCAATTAGCACTAAAACTACAGCAGGAGACAGGAATATCACAGCTATTAGGCATTTATCTGTGCCTACTCACCTCTTCCACCCCCAATCTCCCTCAACACACTGCCCCATACCCCTCACCCTCCCATGCTGCAGCCTGTTGGCCAGGTTGCCTTCAGCACATGGTTATAGTGGGAAGGTGGGAGACCTCCAAAGCAACATCAACACCTTTCCCCCCTTCTTCATCACCCCACCTGAGTCTAAACCCCTCTTTCATTGCTCCCATGCCTCCTCATTGAGGCCATTTCCTCCTCTTGAGAAGTAGTCTTTCTACTGTCCTGATTTACCTGAAGAGGAATGAACCTCTGAAACTTCAAGAGCCATACAGCCCCAGTGGGAGGAGGAGAGGCCTCACCATCCTAGCCAAGGCTGGTCTCACATCCTTCTCTCTCTCTCTCTCTCTCTCTCTCTTCCCCTTTCTCCTACAGCTGTCCCAAAGCAAAAACTTCATTTCTCCATCTCACCTATCCCTTCCTTTAACACTTAGCCTGAAACTGACACATTCAGATGAGGGCAATTTCCAGGGGCTTCTTGCTGGGTGGGCTGTGATGACTTAGCCATCTTTCTAAGGGTCTTGGTTCCTTTCAAGTAGCAGGTTCCCTGTGTCTCCATTGTGCAATGAAACACTTTGAGCTGACGACTGCCTGTATATGGGCCAAGGTTCAATTTCCTCCCCTACCTCCAGTCTACCACATATACCAACACACTGCCTGTGCCCAATCTACTTTTCAGGTTACAGTAAAGGCCAACCCTACTTAAATCCTTCTATCAATCAATGTTCTTTCAACCTCTGGGAATGTGTTGTATTGGTGCATCCCACTGCCAGGAGTGTGGTGCATGGAAAATGAAACAGCACAATGAAAAGCTAGCATACTAAGGCTAAGGACCTTTCCCTTCTTGATCATGACTGGATACAGTGAGTACTCAATTCTGACTCATTTATACAATTAACAAATGTGCTATAATTTAATTTATGGATGGCTGTAAGCACTGTCCTTGTTCGGTTTTATTTTATAGTCATACCTAATTTAGAAACAAAAACTGTCACATGGAATACTTTTTACAGCAGACATAACATTTTCTTCCATCTTTTTCCCCCCATTGAATGAGTCTATCTTCTCATCTCTAGTGTCTCCTCTCTATATAGTCATTTTTATAATAGTGTTATTAAAACACAATCTTTCTATATAAGCAGATAAAACATTTCCTCCATTGAGGGAGACATTACAGTTAGGGGAAATCTGTTTTGCTGGAGTACTAATTACTTGATGTAGTTGAAGTCGGCCTTCAGGTTGAGGGAAGTGCTGCTAGTGCTCTTCTTCAGGTCGTGCACGGCACTCTGCCACTCCTGCACAGCAGCCCAATCAGCAATGGACACATAGCACTCACATGCCTTGTTTCCTAAGTAATTAATGACCTCAGGGGAAGACTCTGTTGGTTTGGACAGCACAGTTTTTCTGGATTCACCTGAATGAAAATATTTTGTAAAATGAGAACACAATGACCCAAGTGGATCCACTATTGTAAATATTTCAGAGCTAAGAAACCTGAAACCATACAAGAAGGTCACTGTCACAAAACAGTTTAATATAACCCTTGCACTGTTTCCTGTAAACAACAACTACTCACCGTTCAGAGAATGCTTGGGGCTGGCACTGTTGCGCCCTGCATTGGCCAGAGTGAGAACAGATTTGTCAAAGCTGGAGATGCAGCAATCAACCCCCGTCATGGCACATAAGTGCTCCTGGTACTCCACAGAAGCCTTTTCAAACCTTAAGTCCAAATGGAAGACATTTTTTATTTTAAATATGAATTATCTCCTTTCCAACAACTTAGTGGTAAACAAATGGATTACTCACGGGGCATAAGCAAGAGTAAACTGTGTGTGGGGTGAGAGCATGGGAACTGACGAATTAGATCTTTTCCTTAAAAATGAAAATTAATTCAAGAGTTTAAGTATAACTGGACATGGGTGGTACATACCTATAATACCAGACCACCTGCTCAAAATACACCAAGACCCTAGCCCAGCCAAAAGTTAGTGAGACTCTATCTCAAAAACAAACTGAAATAGAAAATAAACCTGTCATACCAGACACTCAGGAGGCAGAGGCAGGAGTACTGCAGTAAGAGATCAGCAGGGCTATGAGATCCTATCTGAAAAACTAAAGAGAACAAAAAAACAGCCAGGCGCTGGTGGCTCACATCTGTAATCCTAGCTACTCAGGAGGTTGAGAATCATGGTTCAAAGCCAGCCTGGGCAGGAAATCTATGAGACTCTTATCTCCCATAAACCATCAGAAAACCAAAAGTGGTGCTGTGGCTCAAGTGGTAGAGCACTTGCCTCGCCTTGAGCTGAAGAGCTGAGGGACAGTGCCCAGGCCCAGAGTTCAAGCCCCAGGACCCACAAAAAAAAGGGGGGAGGGGGGCGCAGAGGGAGGATGGGAAAGAATGGGAAGGGGAAACAAAGGAGGCTACAATGCTTGATAAGAAATGTACTCATTATCTTGCCTGTGTAATTGTAACCCCTGTGTACAGTATTTTCACAATAAAAAAAAAAGAAGACAGGAAATGGAGTACTGTTTGTATTGTTTACCTAAGTGTGAGGCCCTGTACCCTTTACTAGGCCCCCTAAAATTCAAAAACAATAGACAACTAATGAATCTATAAACAGCATGAAGGTGAAGACACAGAATAAAAAGGATATCTCTCACACTCACACACGCACACACACACACACCTCTGAAGGTTACTTGTGTTTTAGATAGGCCTCACCCATCTTACTCATCTAATAAACCACTGTCTAAGGATTAGGAGTTTGCCAGTTCAAAAGATTTAAAAGCAATTGAGGAAACACCTCAAAAAGCAATTGAAGAAATTGACTCTTAACACCTTTGTGTGCATGGAAAACAGAAAAATCTTACTTTTCCTGCTTTTAACAGAAAACTATTTAAACAACAAAAAAGAACTAGAAAGGCCTACCAATAATAGAAGATGAAATTATAAGCAGCTATTTCTATGGTATACGTTCTGAATGAGTTTGAATGGAAAGTTCATTAAGAATAATGAGCAAACACTCCAACAGTATGCAGTAAATTGTGTTAGGATCTGATATGGAGGCATCTCAACTAGCTCAACAACTCATCTGAGGAGGCTAAGGTTTGAACTCAGGGACTCTTGGCTTACTAGGCTAGTATGCGGCTGCTGAGTCATGCCTCCAGCCTTTTTTTGTACTGATCATTTTGACAAAAGGTGTTGCTCTATGTAGTTGTGCTTCCGGACCTCAAGACTGAGGTCCTATTTTATGCTCCTGGCTGTAGCTAGAATGACATATCATTTTGCCAAGCTTCTTCATTAAGATGCAATTTTTCAAAATTTTTTGCCTGGGATGGCCTAGAGCTGCAATCCTCCCAATCTCAGCCTTCCCTATAGTTAGGATTACAGGCACAGCCACCACACCTGGCTCAAAAGCACGTATAGAACTGACAGCTTATTTTCCAATACAATTTTTCATTAATTCCTAAGTAAGAAAGTCACTGAAATATCAACCCTAATTAAACAATATACTAAACATGCCTCCTAGTGATTATACCAACTTTGCTGAACTCAAACACACTGCTTTAACACTGAACATTTTAGCCAGCAATACAAAGGGTCTATCATCCACTTCTTTTCTTCAACCTTACCTCCCTTCAGCCTGCTGGGCCACTGAGTTAATCCAGAGAAGGTTTTTACCAACAACAGAAGATGACCACACAGCAATTCCCTGTATAGCCTCAGGACAATGAAGCTCACACAATGCCTCCACCACCATCATGATGGTTACTTCCAATTCATTCCCCTGAAAATAGCAGTTGAAGAAGTTAGTCACATACCTCAACCTCATAAAAATTTGCAAGTACTGACCACAATCTGTGGCTATTTAACATCAAATGAAATTATTTTCAGATTTTTAACATAGAAATCATTGTGTAAAAGGGTGGTACATGCATGCATACATGGAAAAATGAATTTTAACATCATTCTTTAGAATGACTAACTTCATGCTTTGATATTGGCTTGAACAAACATTTTGTATACTTTACATAATTTCACTTATTATTATAAACCCCCACTTAAAAGCCAGGAATTATTCAAGCACTTTTCCAAACATTATAAAACAATTCTTCCACAAATTTTCAACCATCATCCAGAAAGTTAAAGCCCATTTGAAACGCAAGTAGATACATGTTCTATATAGAAAACAAATAAGTGACCTGAGTTTCATAAAATATTAGATCAAAACCTTTTAAGATGCCCTGATTTTATCCATTGATCACATAACATAAAAAACTTAAATCAAAGCTTCTCTTACAGATATAAAAACAATTAATTTTGGGTAGGTGTGTACTCAGTAGGCGGAGCACGTGTTAAACTCTGGGTTCAATCTCTAGCACAATAAATAAAATTAAATGATCCGAAATACATCATCCTTACCTGAGATGGATTATTTGTCTTCATTTCTGTAAGCAAGTCAAACCCATGTCTTACTGTCACAGCAGGCTGGCCTGCCAATAATCCAACCCTCATTATAGAGAGGCGGATCCGAGTTAGCCAGTCCTGACAAGTTTGGCGATTGGTGTAGAAAAAAGTCCTAATGACCTTTAGAAAAAGGGGAAAGACAAGCTCAGGACTGGTTCAAAGTTTTAAATTTAAAGTATCAAACCCACAACTAACCCTAATGACTTGGGCTCTGCATGTACTGCCAGGATTAACAGAAGTCCTTACAAAGCATTACTGCCCCACTGAAACCAACCTTGGGAGGCGATGTCAGTGCATTGGCACACCCCTCATATGCATTATACATTAATTTCTCCAGGTTCTCCAGATACTGCAGAAGAAGAACAAGTCTAAGCTGGTTGCTGCCATGGCCTTCATCATTATCTGCAGTTGTCCACTGACTCACATCTTGATCAGGGTTTAATGTGTGAGCTGCCAGACTTCTAATGATCCCTAGAAGCAGAGACAACATTGTAAATTAAAGGAAAAGTTTAAAGATCCTACAAGTGGGGGCTGGGAAGGTGGCTCAGTGGTAGAGTGCTTGCCTTGCATGCATGAGGCCCTGGGTTTGATTCCTCAGCACCACATAAGTAAAAAGAAAAAAGCCAGAAGTGGCGCTGTGGCTCAAATGGTAGAGTGCTAGCCTTGAGCTGAAGAGCTGAGGGACAGCGCCCAGGCCCAGAGTTCAGGCCCCATAACCGACCAAAAAAAAAAAAAAAAATCCTACAAGTATATTAAGTTATTTCACAAATCAACACTAACCAACTATCTTGTTTCTCTATCCTATTTCACAAATAACACTATCTTGTTTCTCTATTGATTATTTTTTAAAAAAAAGATTCTAACATGACTGAGCTCTCATTTTATGAGAAAAGGAGTTTTTGTGTGTTTTCTGGTACTAGCACTTAAACCTAGAATCTGGAGGTTGTCCCTTCGCTTTTTCATTCAAAGCTGTCACTCTTATCACTTGAACCACAACTTGTTGCTGGTTAACTACAGGTAAGAATCTCATGGAGGGCTGGGAAGGTGGCTCAGTGATAGAGCGCTTGCCTTGCATGCCAGAGGCCCTGGGTTCGATTCCTCAGCACCACATAAGCAAGAAAAAAAGAAAAAAGCCAGAAGTGGTGCTGTGGCTCAAGTGGTAGAGTGCTAGCCTTGAGCTGAAGAGCTGAGGGACAGCGCCCAAGCCCAGAGTTCAGGCCCCATGACTGGACCCAAAAAAAAAAAAAGAATCTCATGGACTCTCCTGCTTGGGCTGGCTTCAAACTGCAATCCTCAGATCTCAGCCTCCTGAGTATCTAACATTACTAAGTATCCAGGATTACAGGCATAGCCCAGAGGTATCCAGCAAGAAAAAGAAAAAGGTTTTTTGTTTTTTTGAAGTTTGTTTTGTCAATCATGGGTTTGAACTCTAGGCCTGGGTGCTGTTTAGCTCTTCAGCTCAAGGCTAGCACTCTACCACTCGAGCAACAGTGCCACTTCCAGCTTTTTTTTCTCCTTATGTAGTGCTGAGGAGTCGAACCCAGGGCCTCATGCATGCAAGGCAAGCACTCTACCACACTCTAGCCACCTTCCCAGCCCCTGAAAAGGTGTTTTTTTCCATTAAAATTCCCTAAGTAGGGGCTGGGAAGGTGGCTCAGTGGTAGAGCGCTTGCCTTGCATGCTCGAGGCCCTGGGTTCGATTCCTCAGCACCACATAAGCAAAAAGAAAAAAGCTGGAAGTGGCGCTGTGGCTCAAGTGGTAGAGCGCTAGCCTTGAGCTGAAGAGCTGAGGGACAGCGCCCAGGCCCAGAGTTCAGGTCCCACGACCGGACCCAAAAAAAAATAAAAATAAAATAAATAATTAAATAAAATTCCCTAAGTAGCCAGGAGCTGGTGGCTCATGCCTATAACCCTAGCTACTTAGGAAGCTGAGATCTGAGGATTGTGGTTAAAAGTCAAGCCAGGCAAGAAAATCCATGAAACTCTTATCTCCAATTAACCACCAAAACCAGAATGGTGCTATGGTTCAAAGTAGTACAGTGCTAGCCTTGAGCAAAAGAGCTCAGGGACAATGCCCAAGCTTTGAATTCAATTCCCACAACTGACCCCCGCCCCCCCAAAAAGCAAAAAAAATCCTTAAATTTTACCCAAAGTCTGACAACCATGTGTCTAATGTAATTATTCTATGAAACCTTATTCTATTAAATGTATTTGAAAATTATTTATAAAAGATCACAGAAAAATACATACTTTCCGAATCTTTGTTTTAACAAAGAAATTCATTATTTCTGAGTGAAAAAGGTTGTGGTCATTGTTTGCATGATGTGGTTGAAGAAGGCTGAGGAGGGGATTTACCTTCGATGGTCTGGAAGGTATCTTGAGCTCTGCCCAGTGGGGTTCTCAACTTAGAAAGGACTGTGAACTGAGCTGCTTCCCAAATAGCCCACTGCCAAAGAACAGCATCTGTCTTGAGGAGATTGCGGGGAATTGTTGATTGCTCACGCTTATCCAGTCTCTGGCAGCTATAGAACAATCTCTCTAACCAATTGTCCTTCCTGGGAAAAGTAGTTTACATTTAACAGACAATGACAACTCCATTTCAATGATGTAAAACAACTGCAGGGAGAACAGGAGTAAGAACTACAATTTTTCCTCCTCAAAGATAAGACCTATAAAATTAAGAAATACTGTTTCTCCACTTAGTATTTTGAGAACTTTTTATAGTTAAGGCATGTTAGGGAATGTTATAGATGGCTAAATTAGGTAAATGGCTATTTAATCTCCATTCACTCTAAGCATCTCCACAGAAACTTCCTCCCCAGTCTCTCCCCAAAGCAATGCTGATGATAAATCAGTTCACTGCCAAGTATAGCCTGACAAGGAAGTGCACAGCCCATTTCTGTTTCTACCAATGCCAGCATCAAAATAAGGTTCTCACAAAAAACCTAAAATGCCCCAGCATTACTTTCTACTCTCCTGTTCTGGTCATTCTTTCCCCCAAACCAGATGTAAGGTCAAGATATTCTTCAAATTCTTTTTCCCAATACAACAACCAAAGAAACCTCTTACCCTGTTCTATGAGAGTTCCCATACAAGATGAAACTGATGACATCAGAGAAATCCTGAGGGTGGAAGGTGTTACTAGGTGCTTTACTCATGTGGCTTCGGAGTGCTAAAGAAATTTCTTGTATTTCTGTGTGATTGTTATTGCTGTAGACAGAAAACAATCATTATTTTACAAATATTAAATGTAGCTAAAAGTTAGCACACATTAAATGTAGTTAAATGTACTTAAAAGTAAGTTATTGTATTAACTAAATTAGAAGTAAAATCATAAAACTGGGACTTTAAAATAGTCTATTATACAATTTCATCAATTCAGGCTCTTAGAGCTCCCAAATCAACTAAATTAGAAACAATGAGATTATAGTTTAAGTAAGTGAATGACTAAGAAATAGTCTGGCACTATATAAATTAATTTATACTGATTATTGTAAGCTTACAAAGTTCATAAAAATCTTACTATGTTTTTCTAGATCTACTCTAAAATTTGATCCTTTGACAACCTCTTCAATCTCTGAGACATACACACTGGATAGATAGATTAATGCACCACTATGGTAAATATGTCTTAGGCTAAACTTATTAGGTAGTAAAAACACAGTGCTCCAGCAGAGCATAAGGGTATCCTCTCATAATCCCTCCATGTGGGAGGCAGAGGCTGGAGGTTGGAAAGTTCAAGGCCACATGTGAGGCATAATGAGAAAAAACAAATAACAATGTACACACACACAAACCCACAATATCTTTATACCTTAAGACCACATCTAAAGGAATTGACTTCAACAGCTTTCCAAAGGCTTGCCGGATTCGAGTTCCACTATGAACCAGTTGAACACGACAAACATCAACACACCTATGAAAAATGAAATGAAAAAATTAGGTGTGGTAACATCCCCACGTCATCAGGGGCAGAGTGAACAGTCTCTAGTCCATACCTCTGTAGCAGATCGTCCGGCAAGGAAGAGGACAGAGCGTGCAGACTGCTGCATGCTTGCAGACAGATACTCACATCTTCAACAAGAGCTATTAAAAATTAAAAGTCACTTTCAGCTGTGGCAGTTTGTCATGGTGTTATGAACCCACTCTTCCTCTCAAGACAAGGAGTAGCTACTATGTAATGTGCCCTGCTCCTGCTTGGTACCCACGCTGGTAGGAACACGTGGGAAACACTAACTCAGTGCAGCTCAGTGAAGTAAGCTAGCTTTTCACACAAACCTGTTTTCAGGGAAAAGTTTAACATGTAGACTGTATTTACCATCATGTGAGTTTAAATATGGGATAGTCACTAAGAAAAACTTAAATAAAAAATAACACTGACTGTTATCTATCACTAAAATGGGGTTACACATATTCAGATCAGGAAAAGAGCTGAAGTAACTGTACTCTTCTGTTTACCAAATACTCCTTTTCTAAGGGTTGATGAACAAAAATTAAAATATCAGTCTTACTGTTGGCTAAAAGGCCTTTGGAAAACTTATGAAAAGATGGAAGAGAGAATAAAGGTGCATATGTTTCGGATTTCTTCATTAAAACAGCCACTTCCAAAGCCCAAGTCATCAACAGTTTCCTGAAACACAAAATGAACAGCTGACTCTACAATAAAAAGCAAAAACAAAACTTCAAAATTATTTTCTTCTTACATCAAGTTTCTTATGATTTTTTTCAAGGATCTCAAGTAATGAAACTGAAGCTGAAACTACTTTGTCAAACTGGTATCATGCCTTTTAAGAAAAGCTCCTACTGACCATGATTGTAGCAAAGAATACGAAATTGGGTAACCACCAAATTGAAGAAACTGCTCTATCCCACTCCTGTAAACCACACTGAATATTCTCTAACTAATAAGGAGAATTAACAACGAGTTCATATTATTTAACACTGCTTGGGTACCTTGTGTCCTGATTAAGATTATCCTTTTTCAGAAGTATTCCCAGAAGATTTAATATAATTGAGAAATGTTTCTTTGTAGCTGTAGTCACAGTACTAATCACAGCGCCATCAAACAAAGATGGGGACGAAGAACTAAGACTACTAGATATAAAGTGATCATGCCTGCAAGACAAGAGTAAGAATTATCTTTTCATTTTTAGTTCAAGAGTACCCAGTTCAAGAAAGACAGTATCTTTGTTTTCACTTTCTTCCAGAGGGCTGGTAAGCACAGTACCTGGTACAATGAGAATACAAGGTGTAGAGCACTGCATACTGAATGGCCGGGAAGTGAACAGCCAGGTCACCATGCACAATCATCAGGTTCTTACTCAAAAGTGCAAAGACGGTTGGGGAGAGAGCCCACATCTAACAACGTACAAAAGAAAACGTATTTATGACTCCTCCAAAAGGCACACAAGCATACAAAGAGTTTATCATTCACACTAAGTTTGGCGTTTTTTTTTTTTTGTTTTTTTTTTGGTGATACTGGAGCATAGCATTTGCTAGGCAAATGGCCTAACACTTGAGACATGTCCTGGGGGCCCTTTTTGCTTTACTTTGGGGATAGGGTCTCATGTTTTTGTCCAGGTTGGTTTGGATTTTAAGCTTTCTATTTTCCCTTCCTGCACTACTGAGATATAGTGTCATGAACTGTTTGCTAACTGACCTAAAATCATAATCTTCCCAAGCAGCTAGGTCCTGTCTGAATATTTTTTAATATGACAGACCAAATTTGGAAATAACCTGGGGTCTTCAGTAAACACTTTTTTTTTTTTTGAGGAAAGTAAATCTTAAGGCATTATTGGCTATATATAACACATGTGAGATAATATGGCAACTCCTCAACAATGCCACTGAAGTGGGAAAAGTTATAGCCAAAACAGAAAGGAGTGTGGCTGTCTGTCAATATGACTTTCTTTAAACAGGAGCAAGTGCAGACAGTCAGACTTCTAAATGCATCCCAAAGGATTGATTAAATTGTACATTCTAAGTAGAAATGAATTATATGAATTATATATATACAGGTGGTCCATGGGCCAATCTAAGCAAAGTCCTTTGTACCTTTTGGTATAGTTTTTTGTTTTTGTTTTTTGGTTGGTCGTGGGGCTTGAACTCTGGGCTTGGGCGCTGTCCCTGCACTCTTCAGCTCAAGGCAAGCATTCTACCGCTTGAGCCACAGCGCCACTTCTGTACCCTTTGGTATAGTATCTCACATTTTCTCAATTTCTAATACACTACAAATGGCCAGGGGCCCTGTCCTATGAGAAAAGTAAGTGTATTGTATCACTCACTCTACACTTTTTCTACACTTTCCTTTTTCTTTTGAAAATACTGAGTACTGAAAACTGACACTGGGCCTCAAACTTGCCAGGCAAATACTCATCACTTTAGCCACCCCTCCAGTTCCTTTGCTTTTAGTCTATTTTTTGGATAGGGTCTCACACTTGGTCCAAAATACTCTTAAGACTACAATTCCCCTACCTTTGCCTTCTGAGTACTGATGGCTACAGGTGTGAGCCACCAGCCTTTCCCCTTTCCTTTCTACTGCAAAGATACTGCTGATCCCACCTTTTCTCCAAGGTGCAAGACATTAATTTTCTCCATTTTTTGTATACAATGTGAATTCCTTGAAAAATTTGAATAGATAAATAAAACAAGTCTACTGCAGCCTTCAAATATGAGATTAAACTAGCAAATATCTTATATTTCTTAAAGGAAAAAAAACAGCTTTTTCTTTTTTTGGCTAATAATGGAGCTTGAACTCTGGGCCTCGCACTATTGCTTAGCTTGGGGGGGGGGGGTCTTTCCTCTTTTCCTAAGAGAATATGAGCCAGGTGTGATGGCACCTGCTTGTAATCCTAGCACTCAGGAAATGAGTCAAAAACACTTTGAGTCCCACATCAGCTTCCTGGACTACTCAGTAAGACCCTATCTAGATAGAAAAATGTATGGGAGGGAAATATATATATATATACGATTGTATCAGAAGAGAAGAAAAAAGTATGAGGAAGAAAGAGACTATATTAAAGGAATGCTATTATCTTAAGTATGAAAAATATTGAAATTCTGCAAATTACTAGATTTAACAGGAGTAATTCCTGAAAGGTATTTCCTAGCAAATAAATGTAAAATAGTTTATAGCAAGGGAAAAACTTAAATCTAGTGGTACAAAAATATTCCCGCCAATTTTATACACATATGCACATCCCAAATATGTCCACTGCAGTAATTCTGTAGACCCTGGCATGATATCACATGAACTACACAGAAATGTACAAAACAGGGGACAGTCGTTGTGAGTGAAGGCTCACCCCAATTAAAGAGTTCTTGGCATTTCCAATTGTCGTCAGTGCACTGAGGTCAAATATAACTATAAACTTTGCATTGTCTACATTAAATACGTGACTCTTGAAAGCCTCATGTTTTATTTCAGAACAGGCCTCAGGAAGTTGTAGACTATGTAGAAGGTTGTTTAGGGCACAAGTCATCTCTCCCAAAATTAATTTATAGGCAGTCTCCAGGACAGGAATATTCTTTAAGCTGAGCACTGCTTGATAAACAGCATGGGCTACAGCAACAACCTGAAAAAGATTAAATTACAGAAAGTGATAGTCAACATTAAATAAATGTCCGAAGTGCATGGCGGGGGGATGAACTTAAGAACACCTAGCAATCACAATTTAAAAAAAAAGCAACCTTGGTAACACATGTGTACACACACACATATGTATGTATGTATATATACTCATATATATGTATTTTACTAAGGTTTTGTAAAGTGCAAAGTTTTATTACATATAAAACTCTTTAAGTGGTCCTTTATTCTTTTTTTTTGCAAATATTATCAAAACACGCAAATAGCAGACTAAGATTTGTTCTCTACATCTATTTAGAAAAATGTATAGTGGGTTTGAGTAGGGGTAGGTTGAGAAACTATTTTTTAACTTACAGTAGACACATTGCTTCTGAATTTAAAACTTCACAAATAATTTGCCTTCTTTTTCTTTGGGGGTAGAAGAGGTAGTACTGGAGATTGCTAGGCAGCCTCTCTACAGTTTGGACTATGTTTCCAGATACCTTTTCCATTGGTCATTCTCTTTCTTTTTGGCAGTACTGGATTGGACTCAGCCTGGTGCTTATGGTCCTCTCCATTTGAGCTACTCCTCCAGCCCTGCTTTTAGCTACTGATTTTGGAGAAAAAGTCGAGCTAACTTTTCTGCTCAGGCTGGTCTTAAACTGTGATTTTCCAGATCTCAGCCTCCAGAGTTATCCCCTCATGTCTGTCTTCCAAGTAGCTAGAATTACCACTGCACCCAGCATACCTCTTTTATCTTTCTGAAAATTTGCTAAAGCTGTATTAGTAAGAACAAAACAAATTCTGAGAAAAGTTATCAAATATTCTGAAAAATATCATCTGACACATCATCAAATATTCAGGATGATAATCATCCAGTATTAATTTGAAGCTATCATTAGTCACTATATTCTAGATCAAGTATTACTTAACTGTTTCATTTATGTAGCCTACTAGGCACCTAAGTCCAATTCTTCAATGATATCTGCTATCAAAAGTGATAATTAATGTATCACTTACCTCTTTTTCTTTATGATAACGTAAAAATAATAGTTTAGATGATGGTATAAATAGTTTTTCTACAAATGATGATGGTAGTTTTGTATTTATCTGCTCGACAATCTAAAAAGAATAGAAATTTTTTAATGAACTTATTCAAATCTAAAGAATATATTTAAGAACCTTAAAAGCATACTGCTAAGTGATTCCCACTATGCTACATTCTAAATAAATAAACAATGGAGGCAATAAAACAATGAACGCTACCAAGGGATGAAGGGGAAATCACGAAGGGTACATGGGTGAACACGAGGCATTCTTAGGACTCTATGAATGACACTACTAGTAAACAAGCACTTGTCACTAGACATTTGTCAAAACCCAGAAGATGAACACGAGTGACTCCTAAAGCAGGCTATGAACTTCCATTAGTAATAATATATGAATATTTGCTCAATAATTTTTACAAATGTACCACTTAAAGTAGGTTAGTAAGAAGAAACTTGGGTTGGATGGTCATTTAACAAGTCTCCGATTTCCTATTCATTTCTTCTGTCAACCTAAAAACTACATTAAAAATAAAGCCTATTAATTTAGAAAGAGCAAGTAGATATCTAAGCTATATTTTAAAGCCCTCACAATGCAATATTAATAGGTTTAAAAACCTACATAAAATACATACATTTCACACTTACATGCTGGCACTTTTTTTACATTGCAAAGTAAGTTGTGTAAGCTTAGCAGAAATGTTTGACACAATGGGAATTTTCTTTAAACAATACAATTGGAAATGAAGGGACATGAAGGAGGCAAAGTCAGCAGCAGCCAAGATGAAACCAGATGGCCCATGAGTTTCTAATTATAGAAGCTGGTACTTAGCATGCAGAGACTCATTACAGTGTCCTATTTTGCATTGCTTTACAGTGTCCATAACCAGGGAGGAGTTACTTACAGTTGAGAAACTAAAGGATAAAAGGCCATAAACCAAGTTTTATACAGGAAATAAAGGTCCTTCAAAATAGCTCTCATAATACTTAGCAGAATGCTAGACAAATTTTGGAATATTTCATTTAAAAAAAAAAAAAGAGGGCTGGGAAGGTGGCTCAGTGGTAGAGCGCTTGCCTTGCATGCCTAAGGCCCTGGGTTCGATTCCTCAGCACCACATAAGCAAAAAGAAAAAAGCTGGAAGAGGCATTGTGGCTCAAGAGGTAGAGCGCTACTGGTGGCTCACGCCTGTAATCCTAGCTACTCAGGAGGCTGAGATCTGAGGATCACGGTTCAAAGCCAGCCTTGGCAGGAGAGACCGTGAGACTCCTATCTCCAATAAACCACCAGAAAACTGGAAGTGGCGCTGTAGCTCAAGTGGTAGAGTGCTCGCCTTGAGCTGAAGAGCTGAGGGACAGCTCCTAGGCCCAGAGTTCAAGCCCCACGACCGACAAAAAGAAAAAAAAAAAAAGAGGTAGAGCGCTAGCCTTGAGCTGAAGAGCTGAGGGACAGCACCCAGGCCCAGAGTTCAGACCCCACAACCGGACCCCCCCCCAAAAAAACAAAGAAAGAAAGAGAGAGAGAGAGAGAGAGAGAGAGTTGAAGCCACACACCAGTAGCTCAAGACTGTAATCCTTACTCAGGAAACTAAGAATCACAGTGTGAAGGCAGCCCAGGCAGGAAAGCACATGAAATTCGTATCTCCAATAACCAAAACAAAAAGCTGGAAGTAGAGCTATGGCTCAAGTGATAGAGCATTGGCCTTCCCCAGAAAGCACTCAGACCCAAAGTTTAAGCCCCAGAATGGGGGAACACAGACAGACAGACAGACAGACACACAACACACACACACACACAACACAACACACAACACACACACACACACACACACCGAAAAGAGTGAAAGTTGCATTGAAATCAGCAGACAATAAAAGTAAATTGTTACTAGAACAAATGCAAACTAGACTGATCAATGCACTAAAAATTTAAAAAAAACATTCAAACCAAGCCCTAATTTCTTATCTAAATAAAGGCCTAAATAAATCCACATGTCAAAAAGGAACAAAAGCATAATTCACATACCAATGTGAGTAAATTCAAGACTGAGATGATATAATCAGTACCACAAGTCTGGCAATTCTCCAGTTGGTCTAATCCATATGTAATGACCATATCACAATGTATACTCATGCTAGGATCCAAGCTGCCGAGCAAAACACCAACACACTCATTAGCAGCTGTCAACACAGCCTCAGAAAAAAATACTTGGTTTGCAGCCGTCACACATCTCATTACTCTGTACAGAACCTGCAAATGAGGAAAACAAAGCAGCTTTTTAAAAAAATTCACATGATTCCACATGGCAAGAAAACATTCTATATAATGCATCTTCAATAGAAAATGAACAACCTGCCTTGCCATAGTAGTTTTAGGGTTTTTTGTTTTTTTAGATGAAGTCTCACTGTATTGCCCAGGCTGGCCTGAAATTTGCAATCCTCCAGCCTCAAGCTCTTGAGTATGTACTACCATGCCTATAGCCAGTAACCCGTTAGGTTTTAGTTCTCAGTAGCTGAAAAATAAGGTTATCCTTAGTACAATATGGAAAAAGAATCAATCATGGCTAAAAAATTCCCAAATATTTTTGTGACAGGAAATGGAATTTGCCATCTTCTATTTCCTTTATGCCTAAATGCCTACTTCCTCTCTCACCAAAGTCACTAAAGGGTTGAAGCTCAAAATCTCTGTAATCATGAAACAGACCAGAACTTAAAATGATTACACTATTAGCTACATGCTACCTGAAGATCAGCTCTTGGGCTTTTGACAATCAAGTCTATTAAACCTAAACACCCAAGTCACCTTAAGCTAATGTTAGGTTCGTAAATCAATTAACATGCTAGACAAGTTTCTATTCCCAATCCCTGGTAAGCTCTTACAGAAGATAAGCATTTCTAGGCTTGCTATATGATACCTACTAAAATTTATTTTAAAAAGTTTCTTTCAAATCACACATATATACATACAAAACTCAAACAGCCAATACTTACATATAAATTATTTATATTAAGAAAATACAAATTGTTGCTGCAAAGTATTTCTGTAAGTCAATAGACCTATATTTAAGACCTTCACAAAGTAACAGACTTAACTATCCTAAAAAATAATTCTGTTCCTTTCCCTTTATTTCATAGGGTGAGTTAACTGCCTTTATTTCAGCTCTGACAAGCTTTTAAATGTCACTTTTTTTTTTTTGGCCAGTACTGGAGCTTGAACTCAGGGTCTGGGTACTATCCTTGACTCTCTGTGCTCAAAGTTAGCACTTTACCACTTGAGCCACAGCACCACTTCTGGCTTTTGCTGTTTAGATGGTACTAAGGAATAGATCCCAGGGCTTCATGCATGCTAGGCAAGCACTCTACCACTAAGCCACTCCCAGCCAAAAAAGTAGTGAAAAGGAAACAAAAATACTAAACCATTTTGATCAAATTTAAAATAGTAACATCATCTAGCAGTATGTTCCACAGAATCAATCCCAGGGCTTCATGAATGTTAGGCAACCACTCTACCACTAAGCCACATTCCAGCCAAAAAAGTAGTAAAAAGGAAACAAAAATACTAAGCCATTTTGATCTTTCTTTTGGGGGGGGGGGGGGGGGGGGTCTGGTTGTGGAGCCTGAACTCTGGGCCTGGGCACTGTCCCCCAGCTCTTCAGCTCAAGGCTAGCACTCTACCACTTGAGCCACAGCGCCACTTCCAGCTTTTTTCTTTTTGCTTATGTGGTGCTAAGGAATTGAACCCAGGGCCTCAGGCATGCAAGGCAAGCGCTCTACCACTGAGCCACCTTCCCAGCCCCATTTTGATCAAATTTAAACTAGTAACATGAAAGTTTGTCTTCAGGATGTATCTGTTAGAATATGCAATTAACTCACCAAGAATTACATTCATTAACAAATATCCTACTTTATCTAGCAGTATGTTCCACAGAAGCAAATACACCTAGACGCTAGCATTATATCAGAACAGTAAATTTGTAATAATCTAGATTAAGCCTTCTAGAACTACACACATGCCTTTCTGTTCTTAGGGAAACACAGTAGTGCCTGTGCTCGTTTTTCCTGCTGGAACAGAATGCAGCTAATATTTTGGGCCACTGAATGAAGTACACTTCTGCTTACAATGGGTCTCAGATTAGTGTATACTTTAAATTGGTGTGTCTGTATGTTATCTGAAAATCCTATATCAAAAACTTGTAGACTGGGCACAGTGGCTCACACCTATAATCCCAGCTACTCAAGAGGCAGAGATCTGAGGATCATGGTTCAAAGCCAGCCAGAGCAGAAAAAGCCCAGGAGACTCTTATCTCCATAAACTATTTAGATAAGGCCAGAAGCGTTATTGTGGCCACAGTGGTAGAGTGCTAGCCTTGGGCACAAAAAGGCTTAGGGACAGCACCTAAACCCTGAGTTCAAGCCCCAGGGCTTGCAAAATACAAACAAAAACAAAAAGAAAACTGTAAAGATATGACAGGGGATGGAACCCAGGAACTCATACTATGAGCCAAATCCCTGCCCCCCAAAACATAATAGACTTCTCTACCATGTGTTAAACTTAAAATGCTGAAATATTTAAAAGTAGAAACAATAGGGGCTGGGAAGGTGGCTCAGTGGTAGAACACTTGCCTTGCATGCCTGAGGCCCTGGGTTCAATTCCTCAGCACCTCATAAACAAAAAGAAAAAAAGATGGAAGTGGCGCTGTGGCTCAAGTGGCAGAGCACTAGCCTTGAGCTGAAGAGCTGGGGAACAGCGCCCAGGCCCAGAGTTCAGGCCCCACAACCAGACCCCCCCCCAAAAAAAAGTAGAAACAATATTTTAAAATTTGCATTTAAAAAGAAATAAGTGGATCTGTGAAGGCTCTAAGAGAAAATTCCATAGAAATAAAATTCAGTGGTCACTTATTCCCAGCAAAGGAATGGTAGGAAGAAGCTAGAGTAGAGTCAGCAGGTTTCCCTGCTTTTCTAGCCAAGATACAGATATGCTACACACATGAAAGGCTAAGAGCACAGCTCATTAGGCACAAGAGGAATTACAGTACATAACAATTCTGCTTCTGAGTGACACTTCAAACTCCTAAAGACACTTACATCTGTTACATATGCCTCAGTAATTGGAGGACCCCGAATTGGGCTGAAGCGCTCCCCGATGCTCCTCACCACAGTACTGAACACCCGGAGTAGTGCTGCAAGCTTTGGTAAAGACACTGATGGAGGAGGAACATCTTCATCCACTGATTCCCCAGAGGCCACATGGCTGAGGTCCTAGATGTGAATTCACAGCCTTCTTATTTAAGCAGTACTTTTTTATGCATGTATGTACCACCACACCCAGTAACCTTCTCGTTTTTTAGTCAATTAAGTTTAGAACACAATCTTGTAAATCAAAGAGAATTTAAACTAGAAGAGAGTAACACTTATGACTCCAAATATCAAAACAGGTCATATCTATTTTAAAAAGCCCACATGAAACACACAGATTTAGAAAATGATCTCCTGCAGAGACAGTGTTGGAGAAAAATCTATTCTACTATGTATCCTGTAAGTATATAAAGATATAACCCAGAAATTTTCCCATTCCTAAACTGATTTTATACTAAACTCTCATTCTAATATCCTTTGAGCTACTAAATAAAAAATAAGTACTCTGTGCCACTATTAGGCATTTAAAAGGCAAAAGTTGAGGTTAAAAAAATCATAAATATCTACTCCACAGACTTTTAATCCAGTGAAGACAAAAGATACACTCAAAAGAAAAGATTAGTAAAATGAGACATTAGAAGTATAGGGACCAGGAACAGGGCTCAAGTGTAGAAAGCCTGATTATTAGACAAGGTTCTGAGTTCAAAACACAATACTGTCAGGAAAAAAAAAAAAAGAGAGAAGTATTATGCATCTGCAGACAACAATAAGCTTTGATGAAAGCCAAATGTCTTTGAATGGGCAGATTCAGAAAGGGAGCTGCAGAGTAAAGTAGGTGACAAGACACCACATGGGGAAGCAAGAAAAAAAGTAAGAAAGTAAAATGGCTCCTTGCTTTCCCTGACAAAACCAAACAGAGCAGCACAACTAAATACAGTTAATAATGAAGGGATGAAGAACATAGAAAGCTCAATTTGGAGGGAACTTTCAACACTACAAAGAATCATGGTGTACGTGAAGAACCACAGACAGACACAGACAAGAGATGGCTGAAGCCTTGGTTGGCAGTGAGGCCAGGAAAGCCCAGAGGCTTCATCAGTGCCCTGTGCACTGCCACACAACTCAGGTACAGCTACGTAAATTGGACGAAGCCAAAGCTTGTCCTCCAGAGCGCGATGTGAGACACCACCATTACATCCACTCAACACCAACTTAACTTAAAGGTATCTGGGAACAAAAAATAAGAATAAACCAAAGAATACATCCTCTGGAAAATATTGGCTGCCAAGAGTATTTCAAGCTTTATAAAATATGAGGTCTAACTTTTTATAGCCTTTCAATTTAAGAACATCTGAAAAAAACAAACTGTGATGGTCTTATAATTTCTACTTTAAATACAAGGGGATTCTAAATTATCTTAATATACATCTAGTGCCTTTATAAAATTTCTGAATGCTTTTCTACTGGTAATCTAAGAAATAATGTAGTTTCCTATAAACTCACCTCAGCATATGCCTCCATGTCTTCTAGAAATTGCCCAAGGAGAGTGGTAGAAAATGCAAGATCAGCTACCCAGAATGGTTCCAAACTCTGCAACCACCCTTGGAATCATTAAAAAATTTTGAAAGAACAGGAAAAACAAAACAAAAAACAGAACGCCAAAATTTTAAAAGAAATTCAAGAACTTTGATTTATTTAAATTTAGTATGTTGAATTGAAGCCCTCTGTAAAACTAATGATCATAAAAAATTACTAATATTTTTATTTAAATTATTTTATCACACAAATCATGGGCTTAGTCACAAACTTTGTTGTAAAGCTTTCCAGTTGCCCATCTAAAAACACGGTTCTATATAAAATCAGGACTGCTAACAAGTAATAACATGATGATTATGATTAACCAAGCATGAGTACTGAGAGGTGTTTATTTGTTTTGGTCGGTTGTAGGGCTCAGGGCCTGGGTGCTGTCCCTGAGCACTTTTGCTCAAAGCTAGCACTCTACCAGTTTGAGCCACAGCTCCACTTCCAGCTTTTAAGTGGTTAATTGGAAACGAGTCTCATGGGGACTTTTCTGCCTAGGCCAGTAGCTAGGATTACAAGCGTGAGCCACTGGTGCCCAGCTGAGAACCTCTTTTAATGCTATAGAAATGAACATTCCTTAAAAATTACATACTTCATGTTCTTAGTGTTTAAAAGGTTTCACATCCATACCCATATAGTCTCTAGACATGACTTAAAATTAAAATGCGACTATCTACTTGGTTTGCTAACCCAGGGTCACATACAGCCATCACAGATGATCTCACCTCCACAGTAGGAAGGAAAGGAGACCAAACTATTCTCAAACACATCTCACTTTTAGAAGTGTATGGAACCAAGTACGCAAGAGAACTTACTGCACCTGGAATTAGCTGGCATATGCAAACATTCACCCAAAGACAAAACCATTTTGTTATGATTTGTGACAGTTCTCTAAACACCTATGGGGAAGAGGGTGGTGGTTGTTGCTGCTGTTTTAAGTAATCAGAAAAACAGCAAAAATTCCAAATAACTTGATCTTCCATCAGGGTACTGTAGCCACCATTATTTCCTTCTACCAGGAAATGCTACATAAAACTTAAGGTACATCCTTCACATTTCTCACAGGTGCAACATTGCAATCTGTACTCACATTCCCTACTATTAACCACATGATTTTCCCTTGACAACATCAATTTAGCTAAGTGACACTCATTTATAATAACCAATTTATCTCCCTCAAGCAATTAGTCTTCCTGGATCATGGAAGGAACAGTCATAGTAGATGGTCTTGGGAGGACCTGCATTCTTGCCCATAATACATAAATAACTGGTATAAACGAGAACAGAAAGAAACCTTACCAGACACCTGCTGTGTGAGTGATGGTTTCTGAGTATGGTCTATGTGCCATCCAACTAATATATCCACTGTATCCTAGATGGAAAGAAAAAGAGAGGAGGCCAGTCACTGGAAGCACTTAACTGCCACTCTACCTATGCACCATTTCACAGTAAAAAAAAGCTAGGAAAATGCCCTTCTGTTCTATGGTCTTGACATTAAGAAACTTAGTAGGGCGAAGTGAGGGACTGGAAGAGGAAGGGACTGCATTCATGATATAGATGAAATATTTTATCTTGAAGTACTGAGGTTAGAAAGCATGCAGTTTTTATTTTTATAAAAGCAGTATCACTGCATCAATTCAAACACAGACCCTCAAACGCCACTGATAAACTGAAAGGAGAATCAATGTGTTTATTGTCTGTGATTTCCCAGTTTTTCACACCACAATCCTCCCCCCACCCCATCATTGAAGGACAGTGGGAAACTCACCCTAAAATTGGTGCTGAAAATATGAGGGTAACATCGAGCCACCAAAAGAATGCATTTAACACACTTGCAAAGTAATTCTGGTGTATCCACATTTTCAAGGATGGACTGTAGGCTGGTCATTACAAGCTTAAAAATAAGTTACAAACTGTAAGTACTCAACAAAGGAGAAAACAAATTAGATCATTACTGGTGACTATATTTAAAACCGATCATGTTAACCAAAGAAAACAAGTTTTAGTTGAAAAAGCTGAAAACTGCCAGTTCCTCACACCTATAATCTTAGCAACTCAGGAGGCTGAGATCTAAGGACCGCAGTTCAAAGACAGCCCAGGCAAGAAACAAAGACTCATCTCCAATAAAGCACTCAGAAAACCAGAAGTGGTGCTGTGGCTCAAGTGGTACAGCACTCGCCTTGAGCTGAAGAGCTGAGGAACAGCGCCCAGGCCCAGAGTTCAAGCCCCACAACCAACAAAAAAAAAGTTGAAAACATCTCAACTCCACAAAACTGGAAGGGTGAAAACATTGTTCTCCACATTAACATCTACTAACATTATTTCTTTACCAGCAACTATCTACTAAGTAATATCTTTGTCCATAATTCATAAACACTCACCTATACCCTGACTCTAACTAAATTTCAAATACAAGAATATTTAGGAAACTATTTTCTTTAAAGTATCACAATTACGGGGCTGGGAAGGTGGCTCAGTGGTAGAGCGCTTGCCTTGCATGCATGAGGCCCTGGGTTCAATTCCTCAGCACCACATAAGCAAAAAGAAAAAAGCCAGAAGTGGCGCTATGGCTCAAGTGGTAGAGCGCTAGCCTTGAGCTGAAGAGCTGAGGGACAGCGCACAGGCCCAGAGTTCAGGCCCCATAACTGGACCCAAAATAATAATAATAATAAAGTATCACAATTACTTTTCAATTTAAACTGTAAACACATTTTATGCAATTATAGCATTAGAACAAAGTTTATACAATTTGTTTCAACTCAGAATGTCTTAGCATGAGCACCACACATCAATGACAGCAAGCGGGTTCTTGTTACCAGTATATACACACTGACAAAATAAATATATAGCATATCACTGATAGAATATTCTAGATCTGTTAAAAACCATTTTTCATAAAAGAAACAGTTCTTTACAAAGGCTGCTATAACATTAAGATATGCTAGAACTACAGTCTCTACTTCACAGAAGTCAGTGCTGTAACCTGTACTACCAAGAATATTAGTGAATGCTACAATCACTCCCTGAAGAAAATACTACCAAACCCACAATATTCCAAATGTCTCAAGGCATGATATCCAGATCACTCCCAAGGGGGGAAAGAAGCCTTCTCAAAAGGCAGACTAACTAGATCTGGAGTCATCCTCTCCTCCAAGTGATCAAACTGCACATGGGAGAGTTGATGAGCTACATTACCTGCCTGTTGGTGTGGTGTAGCAGCATAAAGTACTGACTGACTCAAACCAGGAAAGAACAATGTAAAAGTAGAGCATAGCATTAAAGTTCCTTTTCTTGGGCAACTATTCTACTTTAAAGGAGATCTTAAAAAGGCATAATATCAAATACAATGCTTAAATCTTGATGAATTCTTGGTTACCGGAGACATAGCTATCAAAGACATCTTTAGGGTAAAACTGAGAAATTTGAATTTGCACTGTAAATATAAGAAAATTCACATTTGGGTGTGATTACAATATTGCTGTTACACATAACAAATTATTCCATATACTGAATTGTCATGGTGTCATTTACCTTCAAATGGTTCAACATTCAGGGAGACAGACAGACAGAAACAGAAAGCCCAAGAAAGAGAAATAGAACAAAACCTTACCGAAAGGTCACTAGGTGACAGTTAAAATGCAACATCGCAGGTGCTGGGTTCAATCTTCAGCACATCCCACCCCAAAAGAGTTATTAAATGTGATAAAGCTAGATAAAGTACATAAGTATCTCTTGTATTAGTTTATATGCTTTCCTGTAGATTTGTACATTTTCAAAATTAGGAAATGTTTGTAAAATACAAACATATGTAAATGAAACATATGAGTTATTAAAAAAAAAGCAAGCAAAATGAATTTGCCACTAGATGATATGCACAGCTGTACACTGGAGTTTTTTCCAGCTTACAGTAGCAACTGGACCTGTTAAATATGGACTAGATGACATCAAAAACTATGAGTGTTGTCACACCTGGAGGTATCTGTTAGTCAGCTTGGTTTCTGAATGGGCTTTTGGCACAACACCCACCCCCATGGCAGATCTGATATCAACACTATGAATCCCGTAAACATTCTGTAAAATGCCATGGAAATAATTGCTTTTCATTTTAAGGGGATGGGAAAAGAACAAATAAATCTGTCAATAAAGCACTATAAAATACGTAAAGATGGAATGCTTCATAAAGATCTAAAGAAATAGAGAAATTCCAAAATAGGGAGAAAAAATACCAAAATACCAAATAACAACACTCTAATATTTAAAAACATGATCTCAAAAAAATTTTAATTCAAGGACTGGAAATGTGGCTTGCCAAGAAGCCGTACCACATAAACAGAAAAGGCCAGAAGTGGTGCTATGGCTCAAGTGGTAGAGTATTATCCTTCAGCACAAATACGTTTAGGAACAGAGCCCAGGCCCTGACTCCAAGCCCCAGGACTGGGAAAAAAAAAATTCAAATCTTGCTCAAAAGTTATTTAACACCAGGCACTGGTGGCTCATGTCTATAATCCTAGCAACTCAGAAGACTGAGATCTAAGGATTATGATTCAAAGCCAGCAAAGTCCATGAGACTCTTATCTCCAATGAACCACCATTAATTAAGCTGGAAGTGGCACTGTGGCTCAAGTTGTAGAGTGCTAGCCTTGAGCAAAAAAGCTCAGGGACAGCACAGCACCCAGGCCCTGAGTTCAAGCCCCAGGACCAGCATTTAAAAAAAAAAGATAGTGCTTTCTTTATGCATTCACCTTATAAACAAAAATGAAATAAAGCTATGCAAAGCTGGTATTCCTTATAAATAAGTTTTATATTAGTTTGGATGAAGAATTGCTTGCCTGTCTTGTCATCAGCATAAATTTCAGAACTGAGTGTGATGTGTAGTGTGATGTTTTCCTCAAAAAATGTGAAGCCTCTGTTCAACTCCTCTAGAAGAGTTCCTGTTTTTGAAACTGCAAGTCATTCCAACATTAAGCAACAAAGGGAAACTTTTAAAAATAAAAAATACAAAAATCCTCAAAACATACTCACTTTAAAATTGGTCCACTGTATATCCTTTACTCAAACTCCAAAAGAACTGAATTTTAATTACATCTGCTGTGAGTAGACGGGCCCTGCCTGCTGTTTCTGTTCCTGAGCCCTCCCCCAAGGATAAGGAAGATTCCCTCCCCAAGGTCATCGCTTCCCCTCACCTTACCTGCATTACAGATGAAAAGGCTTTCTTCTCTCCTACAGTCTCTAGTGCTTTGTAGGTGGCACATAAGTAGAGAAGTTTAACTTCATCTTTTGCAGATGAGCTAAATTTGCTGAAAATCCACTTGAAGATCTTCTCAGCCTCATAGCTCAAAGAAGCACAAAGAAGGCCAAGACAGCAAGCTCCCTCTTGTCTCAACTCCTGAAGCAACTTGCTACTGTTTATTTTAATGTAAATAAAACAAAACACACACAAAAGGCATAAGCTTCCAGAGACAACAAGAATGACACATCTTCCCAAAGAAAATGTCTTAGATGTTTTATAACTTTTTAAGGATTTCTTAAAAGTTCAAATTAAAGATTGAAAGTTTACCCAATAAACACAGAATTCTATTATGCAGTACTCAAGAGTACCCTTTTCAGATATTAGCTTTTCTAAAAAACTGAGGCTTTAAATTTAAAACTAGACAAGTCACAGGAAAAGGTAACCACAAATTATTAGATAAAACACACTATAATAGCTAGACAAAGGGTAAACAGATGCAGCACTGGAACTCACTAGCCACTATGTTGAAAATGAAATACATAACTTGTGGGTAGGAATGAGAAGGAAAAACTGGGAGTTGAGGATGACACTGTCCAAAAAGAACTGCACCCGATTCATGTACTGTAACCTATCTGTACATCACCTTAATAATACATCTGTATATCACCTTAATAATTTAAAAAACGCTAAGCGAGTGCTGGTAGCTCACACCTATCATTCTACTCAGGAGGAGGCTGATATATGAGGATCATGGTGAGAAGTCAGCCTTGGCAGGAAAGTCCATGAAATTATTATCTCCAACAAACCACACACACCATCACCACCATCACCACCATCACCATCACCATCACCACCACCACCACCACCACCACCACCACCACCACCACCACCACAGGTGTAGCTGTGGCTCAAATAAAAGGGCACTAGCCTTGAGTGAAAAAGCTACAAGGACCGCACCCCAGCCCAAACCCCGTACCAGCACAAAAACAAAAATAATAACCAAAAAAACAAAGAAAACACTAAGTATATTATATAGTCAATATGGAAAGACAGTGAATAATAAATGGTGGTTAGTAGCTAGCAGCTGAATTTAATTACAGAACAAGGAACCATGGAGGTCAGGTATTTCTAGCACTGCTGCCCGTTGGTGCCTCTGAGAGCCGCAGTGTGGGCTTAGCGTTGGGTGCTCACTGACGGAAGCTCCCTTCTACCTCTATACTCTTAAGTTCTCTCAAACTTTCTGAGTTTAAAAAAACTAACCACATTCATCATTCATTTGTTCCACCAGTCAATACGCAAGCATTTAGCTATGTTGCAAATTTTTTAAAATAAATAATCCTTTTCTTTTTTTGGGTCAGTCATGGGGCCTGAACTCTGGGCCTGGGTGCTGTCCCTCAGCTCAAGGCCAGCGCTCTACCACTTGAGCTACAGCGCCACTTCCAGCTTTTTCTGCTTATGTGGTGCTGAGGAATCAAACCCAGGGCCTCATGCATGCAAGGCAAGAGCTCTACCACTGAGCCACCTTCCCAGCCCAATAATCCTTTTTAAAATAGATTCTATTTATACTGCTTACAAAGTCAATGAGAAATAACCTTAATAATTTCTAAAACTACCATTTAAATTTAATTACTATTAGTTACTTACCTTTCATTAAGCACATCATGAACAGCAGCCAAGATATTATCCAACTGTTTTACTAGTACCTTTAAAAAAACACACACATTTATAAATAAACTTCAAAAAAAACTTTTATTTTTAAGAAAAAACTGTATACTCTTGTTTACTTGTCTTGCTCTCCAAATTATAATTAGAAAGCAACTTAACTTCCTTATTAATCCAGTCCCCAAATACATCAGGAACATCATGTTTCTCTTCCAACTATGAAAGACATCCAGAGGAAACCGTTGAAACCATCAATGAAAATATAAAAAGAGCTTCTTTGACTTCAAATACTCTGAATGCACTTAAAATGAAGTGCTGAAGGGACAGGATATACAATATGGGCAGATGTCAGTGACAAAGTGGGCAGGCAGTTCACTGCACAATTTTTGTTGGGTACTTTTTAAAGTTTTATATAAAAACTTAGGGGGAAGAGCATGCTTTGAGCCATTTTGTTATTTGCCTAACTAGACCATCCTTAATAGTTTTCTACTGCCCCACATCAAGCTCTTGATTTGTTATTAGAATTATGTGGAATGGAAAGAATAATTTAACTATTCCTGAGTTGTTTAAAGGGCTTTTCCATTTTCTTAGCCCTGGTCATCAAACCGAACTTCTACACCAATGAAATATGTACCATGCATCTCTATTTCATATATGAAAAACAAAGAGACTTTTGTCCTAGAACACCAAGAAAAAAAATCTGAGGGGCTGGGAAGGTGACTCAGTGGTAGAGCGCTTGCCTTGCATGCCTGAGGCCCTGGGTTCGATTCCTCAGCACCACATAAGAAAAAAGAAAAAAGCCAGAAGTGGTGCTGTGGCTCAAGTGGTAGGGCGCTAGCCTTGAGCTGAAGAGCTGAGGAATCATTCACAGGCTAATTTTAAAAACTAAAAGTGCTTCATTTCGGAAGACTCCAACGTGGATGCAACAGTGGACAAGGGCAGATAAACTATACATTAGGATGCAACTGCTGTTGAACATCGCCAGGTGCTGATGGCTCATGTCTATAATCTTAGCTACTTAAGATGCTGAAATCTGAGGATCGTGGTTCAAAACCAGCCTGGGCAGGAAAAACCTGTGAGACTCTTAACTCCAAGTAAGCACAGAAAAAGCCAGAAACGGCGCTGGAGCTCAACTGGTAGAGCGTTAGCCTTGAGCAAAAAGGAGCTCAAGAACAGCACCCATACCCAGGGTTCAAGCCCTAGGAACAGCAAAAAATAAAGTTCAACATAATATGGATACATTAAGTGCAGAATAAGAAAACTTATTTTTCTAGAAGCAACCCTGTTCCCTTTCTGGGCCATTTTGGAGTTGGAATTGAGGCCTCACACTTACTAATAATCCTTCACCTTTCCTGCTTTAGTTTACCTTTCAGACTAAGTCTTGCATTTTACAGACTGGCCTTGGACCTCGACCTCTACCTCTGGCTCCCAAGTATTATACTCACCAGTTTATTTTCTGGTTGCTGAATAAATTCTTTCAGCTGCTTTACAGTAGCCAGCCTTCGGTCTCTGTCGTCTTCCCGGGTGATCCTCCGAAGAAGGTTCGACAGTCGAGACTCATCAGAGTAAGACATCGATCGCTCTGAGAATATAAAACACTGACTGGGGCTGGGAAGGTGGCTCAGTGGTAGAGCGCTTGCCTTGCATGCCTGTGGCCCTGGGTTCAATTCCTCAGCACCACATAAGCAAAAAGAAAATAAGCCGGAAGTGGCGCTGTGGCTCAAGTGGTAGAGCGCTAGCCTTGAGCTGAAGAGCTGAGGGACAGCGCACAGGCCCAGAGTTCAGACCCCACGACCAGACCCCAAAAATAAATAAATAAATAAAACAAAACACTGACTACTGAGTACAAAGGAACATAGAAAGTTTATAGCCTAAATGTATTGAGATGTCCATCAAAATGTCATTATCTGAGCCAGGGCACAGCAGCTCACTCCTGAAATCCTAGCTATTCAGTAAAACTATGATCTGAGGATCAAGGCTGGAAGACAGCTGAGTATGGCACCATGATCCAAGAGGCAAACCAGAACTTTTCTTCTATTTTCTCACTGCAAGACAAATGCAAATTCCCAAACAGAATTTAACACTGTTAACAAGAAATGCATGAAAAGGCTGTTGATAAATCTGCCAGTAGAACTATTGTAAAGAAGAAGCACTTTAAAGTCACTATCTACAGTCTATGTCTCTTCTATAGTATAAGGCTTCAAACATTTAAGAGATAGCTTAGCCTTTAGTCATTCTACATTGGAACTCTTATGTAAAGGAAACTGACCCTTCAATGGTTTTACGCCCTTCCCCAAAAATGTGTACACAGATATTCACTAAGATATGTAACACAGGTAGAGGTGTGGAAATGTGTGGATGGTACCCTTTATGTGGTATGTGTGGTGGATCTGGGTTTCCAGCCTTACCCTGTGATTTCCTCATGTCTTTGGTGGCTAACGCACGACTGCCATGCTGAACACTGGTGAACTCAGAGCTGGTCACATTGTTAAACCTCAGCTCTTGCCCCAACGACTTCCGACCATAAGTATTTTCCCCAGATCCTCCATTGACACTGTAGCCACCTAAAAGAACAACAAAATTTATTTTTAGTAGGGCTCTTCATTTTCATCAATTCCTGACAGTATGAAGTCATTATCCATCTACAACTCACCCAGCCTTTGCTTCTAATTTTCCCTTGTGCTGCTGATCCTAAAATCATAGATTCCTTGCTGCTGATCCTAAAACCATAGATTCCTTGCCTAAAGCTAAGAAAAACTAAATTAAGGGGCTGGGGCGGTGGCTCAGTGGTAGAGCGCTTGTCTTGCATGTATGAGGCCCTGGGTTCAATTCCTCAGCACCACATAAGCAAAAAGAAAAAAGCTAGAAGTGGCGCTGTGGCGCAAGTGATAGAGTACTAGCCTTGAGCTGAAGAGCTGAGGGACAGCGCCCAGAGCAGGCCCCACGACCGGACCCAAAAAAACAAACAAAAAATAAAAACTAAATTAAGTCAGATTTTGTTTCAAGATACATATTTTTGTGCTGTCCTAGGGCTTGAACTCAGGGCCTGGGTGCTGTCTCTGAGCTTTCTTTGCTCAAGGTTAGCACTCCACCACACCACTTAAGCCATAAATTTACTTCTGGATTTGGGGGGATGGTTAATTGGAGACAGACTTTCCTGCCCAGGGTGGCTTCAAACCACAATACTCATATCTTGGCCTCCTGAATAGCTCGGATTACAGGTGTGAGCCACTGGCAACCAGCCTTGTTTAAATACATCTTTATAAGTCAAGGGACAGGATGAAGGGATAACAGACAATATTCTAATATTGTGTACTTTTGCAACTATATACAATGCACTTATATGTTAGAAAACATTCTTCTAAAAAAAAAAAAAGGAAGAACTAACTCTTTGGGGTTAGAGGTGTGGCTCAGGTGGTAGAGCACCAGCCAAAGAATGAAAGTGTCAGATACCGAGTTGGAGTCCTGGTCTCAGACAAAAAAAAAAGAGAAAGAAAGCATTTAAGCTTAAAGTAATAAAAAGAAAAACATAAAACTTTTCAAAATAATAATGTAGTTGTCATCTATTCTTCACTTGCTGAATTTTAAATCTATAAGAAAGAAGGAAGAGGGAAACTAGCTAGGCAGGTTTAGAAAATATACAACCAGGGATCTGTGGCTCACACCTGTCATCCTAGCTACTCAGGAAGCTGAGAGCTGAGGATCTGGCTCAAGGCCAGCCCAGGCACGAAAGCCCATGAGACCCATCTCCAATTAATTACCAGAAAAGGCATAAATGGAGCTGTGGCTCAAGTGGTAGAGCTCTAACCTTCAGTAAGCTGATGGATAACACCCAGGCCCTGAGTTCAAGCCCTAGGTCCAGCTCAAATAAACAAACAAACAAAAAAAAAAACATATAACAAGGAAGATGAAAGAGGTTGTATATTATCGAAAAGGAGTATTTGCAAGTAATACAAACAAAAACACGGGGCTGGGAACATAGCTCATGTGGTGAAGTACTTTCCTAATAGAGATGCAAGACCCTGGGTTCCATTCCCAGCACTGCAAGGAAAACTTAAAAAAGAAAAAACACTTCCCTCCAAACCCCCAGAAAACATGCCTCCGGCAGTTTAATAAAAACAAAAACAAAAACACACGTACCCTTTTCGTCATTCTGTATGTCAGCGTGGACTCTGGTATCATCGTGCCTTTGCCGAGACACCACAGCTGAATTTGAAGGTTGCAGTCCATAAGAGGAAGAACCACCTCTATCTCTGGATGAGGAATATTTTAAATTATCTGGGTCGGCTGATGCACTATCAGTTCTGCAAAGAGAAATGCAGGTAATTAGAATTTTCAGCATTTTAATGGCCAAAACCACAAATCTTTCTTGTGTACAAGCCTTTTTCTACCCTCTAGTTTCCATACTCAACCGTTACCATCATGCATTAAGTACTCCACTGTCTAATTACAAGCCTTTCAACCAGAAAAACCTTCAACAGATAAACTGCCAGCTATTCTGCTTTTTCTACTAAAGATCCATTCAAAATCTGAATAGTCATCAGAATCAAGGTGACCAACTCATGCTAGTTTGCTCACAACTTTACTGGCTTAGCTACTGTTAAGTTTCTTGTTTTAGGCAAAATTGGACTGTTGCCTACTCTGGTTCAAGATACTTTCCCCATGATGTGATTTATTCTCTCTCAATTCTCCTCACAGAAGAGGGTTAATGAGTCAAAAATGTTAAGTCTTCCCAGTCATTAAGGGGGGGAAAAAACAACCCAACAACCCACTGACAGCAGGTCAGTGGCAATTGGTTACCAAATTATTTTTTTTAAAGAACTGCCTCATAGCAATGTGCCTTCAATTCTCAACTGACTCCTTATTTGGTGGAAAAATATAGAATGATATTTCAAAGCAAGCTCAACAAAATGTAGAGAAAGAACACCTTAGCCACAAAGTAAGATTTTACTTATGCATAGCAATGCTTAAGACTTCATTGAAAATGCTTTAATTTTAAGGAATATCAATTACAATTATTTAAAAAGTGAGAGCCGGGCGCCAGTGGCTCATGCATGTAATCCTAGCTTCTCAGGAGGCTGAGATCTGGGGATCGTGGTTCAAAGCCAGCCCGGGCAGGAAAGTCCATTAGACTCTTACCTTCAACTAACCACCAAAAAACCAGAAGTGGAACTGTAGTAGAGCTTTAGCCCTGAACAGAAAAGCTAAGGGACAGTGCCTAGGCCCTGAGTTCAAGCCCCAGGATTGGCACAAAATACTTACAATATTAATTTTTAAAAGGTGTACATAATGAACTCTCACTAAAGCTGAATCTAAAAGGTGTGATCAGTAAGTACTGTTCAGAATAATACCTGATTCTGGGACATAAACAAATGGTAACACTCAGGAGAAAATTAGCATCCATATTCAAATGTTGGCTCCCATCTACTCTATGCCTCCATTTCCTAATCAGTAAAGTAGATAAATGAGCTTCAAGATTTCTCATGAGTCTTACTCCATCAACCCATCAAAATGTCAACAAAGGAAATAAAAGTCTATTCCATAAGAAAAATACAAGTAAGCAGTTCCTATCCTGCTTTTATCCTGAGGAAAACAACCTTCATAAAGAAATGAAGATTGGGCTGGGAAGATGGCTCAGTGGTAGAGTGCTTGCCTTGCATGCATGAGGCCCTGGGTTCCATTCCTTAGCACCACATAAGCAGAAAAGTCTGGAAGTGGTGCTGTGGCTCAAGTGGTAGGGCACTGGCCATAAGCTGAAGAGCTGAGGGACAGCGCCCAGGCCCAGAGTTCAGTTTCCACGACCAGCAAAAAAAAAAAGAAAAAGAAAAAGGAAAAAGAAATGAAGATTGATATATATTTTTATTTACTTTAAGTTATATATAATTTATATATATATGTATATATAAACTGCCTCATAACAATCTGCCTTAAACTATCAACTGACTCCTTATTTATTTGATGGAAAAAATATAGGATGGTATTTGAAAGCAAGTTCAACAGAATGTACAGAAAGAGCATATATATCACTTCTGTATTTTATGAAATCATCTTCTGAACTTATAATCATTTTGGAAAAGTTTAAGACACTGGCCAGGGGAGAAAGTAGTCTATTACTCTGCCTTCATGCCTCCCCCTTGTATGTAAAGATGATATTACTTCACATAACATTTCATTTACACTTTCATCACCTTATCCTTCCCCACTAACAAAAATAATCAACATAAATCATTCCATAGGCTCAACTCTCTGTAATCACTGTTAGTAGCCAGTTGAGCTCAGATACTTAACTGATACAAGTCTATGTTACTTTTTAAAAGCTATTGCAATAAATCTTATTACAATTCTATAGCCAGGCATAGTAAAATAGCTAAGGCTCTAATAGAACAGCTTCATCAAATATTCAGACTCCCTTTGTTCATAAACAATGCTAAGTATTTCTAACACATTAAAAATATGGAATTTCAAAAAATTATGTATGAAGATACTAAATATACTAGGTCAGCAAGCTTTAACACTATGGAACATGAGAATTCTGTATATCTAAAAATAGCATATTAGGGCTGGGATGGTGGCTCAGTGGTAGAGTGCTTGCCTTGCATTCATGAGGCCCTGGGTTCGATTTCTCAGCACCACATAAGCAGAAAAAGCCAGAAGTGGTGCTGTGGCTCAAGTGGTAGAGCGTTAGCCTTGAGCTGAAGAGCTGAGGGACAGCACCCAGGCCCAGAGTTCAGGACCCACAGCAGAAACAAAGAAAGAAACAAACGAAGGAAGGAAGGAAGGAAGGAAGGAAGGAAGGAAGGAAGGAAGGAAGGAAGGAAGGAAGGAAGGAAGGAAGGAAGGAGAAAGAAAGAGTATATTAAACTACATCTATAATAAAGCATAATATATTACTACTTTCTGAAAAAGAACTAAAGAATGAAAGAACTTATGGACTGCTGTAGCTACCTATATGTATGGCACCTAATATAACCTGGAAAAATAAGATATTAGGAAATGAATAAAAACACACATCTATATACAAAGATAGCTGAAGTCTACCAATATTTAAGCCTGTCTTTATGTTTTTATTATATTCACGTGTCACCTACTATTCATACTATCAAAAGTTAAACATTTCTATCCATTTCTGGGGGCAAAGTAGGAACATAAGGCAGCAGAGAATACCAGTTAAGAAAAGATCTGGTCTCAAATTCCAGCTCCAGGACTGATAGGTACCATGTGCCTTAGTCTCCAGGACTTGATTTTCTCCTCGGCCGATGGGGATAATAGCTATCTAACATGCAGGTAAGATTACGAGGCTTAAATAAGATTAAGAATTATTTAATAAACCAAGGAGCTGGGGCCTCACACCTATAGTCCTATCTACACAGAAGGCTATGATCTGAGGATTAGAAAAGTCATTGAGACTCAACCCCAATTAATCAGAAAAGGCTGGAATTGGAGGCATAGCTCAAGTGGTAGAGGAACAGTCATGAAAAAAGGGGGAGGGGGAGCTCCAGGGCCTGAGTGCAAATGCAAGTACCAGCCCCACCCCCCAGTAAAAAAATTCTCAAATATTTAGCTTGTAGAATCCATTAAGACTTATTATAACCATAATACAAAATAAACCTGCAGTTTCCAATCAACAGACAATAAATAAGCAGCTCCTGAACAAAAATGTTTTTACACTCAACATATAGCAGCTTATGTTAAATTAAGCAATTTACTGCTACCAATCAATTTCTAACTAGTATGCATTTGATTTCAAGCTAAACAAAACCAAAACTGCCTTCCCAATTGGTTAGAATACAGTGTTTTTAAATTTCATGAGTTATGAATCCTGAGCTTTAAAAAAATGGGGTTTTCAAAAATATAGCAAAAAAATCACTTAGAATCATTGTCTTAGAGCTGCCTAAAGACAGCAGAGTTGCCAAGTTATTTTAATACAAATTGATCAAAACATTTCCAACCAGAATTCACGTTATGTATTCTGAACCCAAAAGCACAAAATGGCTCAGTGCTTACATGAAATCCCTATCTTTATAATATTTAGACTGCCTGGGTCTCGAAAGCCGTCAATGGTTAGCTGTTAGTAAAGACCACACCAGTCCAATAATAAAAAAAAACTGTTACAGAAGGGAAATGAGCTCTTAGCATGAGGCAATCAAAACAGAAAATGCAGATCTGAACTCTAAAGTGGGCATCAGTGTTAAAGTGGTTAGTCAGGAAGGCTGTCAAAACTATCAACTCCAGAATTAGTGTCTCAATTTAGTATAAAAACCAAATGTATCTGTTAAGGCTAAAATCCAAGCAACAAAAAATACTTGCACAGCCCCTTTAATACTATGAGAATATGATGAAGAGAAAAAAAGAAGAAATGCATATATTTCCCCAGTGATCAAACTGAAGTTAAAGCCTGATGTACATGCCACATGGGAGGTAAGTTTCTAAAGCTCATACCTCAAAAATCGCATACTGTATAATATGGAGCCTTTGTGATGTTTTGCATCAAGTCAATCTGTAAGACAGTAGTTACAATATTAGTGAAGACAGTGGGTTAAAACATTTCATGTTCAAACATGAAGCAATAATCATTCATGGGTTAGGTGCTTTTAGTTAACTATGGCCCCCTTGGGTTTGTATGTCTAAGCAAAAATAAGATAAAAAGCCACTCGATGCCTTAGAAGATAAAAAGGCTTAAAGTGACAACCAAAAAGTTGGGGGTCCGTAGAGAAATAACTATAACATACAAATCACATACAAATACAATTAGCACTAATTTTAGTTATCTAGACTAAATAGCAAGAAAATATAATCAGTCTAAAAAGCCATTCGTTTTGAATGACAAATCCTTCATCCTTATGAGCACTGGAAAAAGCAAATCCCGACCTCTACCTCCCTTAAAAATCTCTAGAAAGTGTGAAGTCAAAGAAAGTTTTGCCAGCCAGGTATGGTAATGGACACCTGTAATCCCAGCACTCAGAAGGCTGAAAGTAGGAGAATGGTGAGTTCAAGACCAGCCTCAGTTACATAGGGAGTTCAAAGATAACCTGAGCTTTAAAATGAAATCACGCCTCAAAAAAAAATTATCTAGCTAAAGCACCCAAAATGACTTGATGCAAACACACCTAGTGGTGCCTGCTGGAGTAAGCATCATATTGCTTTGAGTTGTTTTTGCATAAGTTGACTACGGGATGTTGCCCTTGTGGGAAGGTCTAATTTGTAAGGAATCTAAACTAGGTAATGAGATTTGCACTGAAGCCAATGAAGTAGGAATAAATTTACTCTCTATAGGTTATGCGGGGAGTTTTTCATACTTTTTGTGGAGGCAAAGCTTGGTGCCTAGCAACCCCAAAGCCCTAAGTTCAAACAACAACAATAAGGGGAGTAAAAGTTCATACTATTTGAAAATTTATTTACCTTTAAAAAAGAAATCCAGGGTTATCCCTATACTATCTCTTACTCACCTGGATTCAGATATGCTTTCATAAGGGTTAAAAGGCAAAATACGCCTGAGCCTTGTCTATATCAACAGAACTATTTTGAGTCTAGTGCAAAACTTTCATTTTGCAGGCTCAAAGACTTCATTATAAAATGCTTCTCATGGGGGGCTGGAAAGGTAGCTCAGTGCCTTGCATGCCTGAGGCCCTGGGTTCGATTCCTCAGCACCACATAAGCAAAAAGAAAAAAAGCCGGAAGTGGTGCTGTGGCTCAAGTGGTAGAGTGCTAGCCATGAGCTGAAGAGCTGAGGGACAGAACCTAGGCCCAGAGTTTAGGCCCACGACCAGACCCAAAATATAAAAAAAAATAAAAAAATAAAATGCTTCTCACTTGAAAATTTAGGCTCAAATTTAGTAAAGCAATTGCTTTGTGTCAAGATTGTAAATGAGACTTATCAGTTGTGTAGTATTAAAATATTAAGTGATATAACTTCTTGGTGAAATTTCCTTAGCTATGTATTGACTCTATACCAAATCTTACTTACCCATTTATTGGTTCCTTGTTACCAATATTTAATTTTTAATCTAATTCTCAACTGAATTAGCCAATATAGACCAGTGAAAAAAGAAATTTTATTCTAAAATTATAAATAATTTTGTATTACCCAAAGAGAGTTGTGGCTTTTACCTGTGGTTTCTGAAAGGTAATCTCTATGCCCTTGGAATGCCATGCCTATTTAATAAGGTTGGTTATCATCTGGGGCTGTGGGCCACACCAGAAATCCTAGCAATGAACCTTATGAGAGGAACATTTAGGGCTGGAAGCCAGGCTGTCATAGTTATGGAGTATCAGTAAAAAGTCCTAATCCCTTAAACATAACTGGTTGCTTTGCTCCTGTATTTCCATTTTGCTACATGGTACCTTTCGATGTTTTCTACTAAACAGTACTCTATGGTCAGTCACTCACCTCCATCCACACCTCTGTCCCATCTCTACCCATACTGAAGAAAAATACTTCTATAAAACACAACTCTTAGCCAAGTGCCAGTGGCTCACATCTATAATTCTAACTACTCTCAGGATGCTGAGATTTGAGGATCACCGTTGAAAGCCAGCAAGGGCTGTGGCTCAAGTGGTAGCCTTCAGGGAGGAAAAAAAAAAAAAAGTTCAGGGATAGCACCCAGGCCCCAAGTTCAAGGCCCAGGACCAGCATGAAGGGGGAGGGGGGAGAACATAAAACAAAAATGGGTGCTGATGCTGATGGCTTATGCCTGAAAGCCCAGCTACTCAGGAAGCTGGGATCTAAAGATCACAGTTCAAAGCCAGCCAGGACAGGAAAGTGAAAACTTATCTCCAATTAATCACCAAAACGCTACAGGTGAAGCTATGGCTCAAATGGTACAGCAGTAGCCTTGAGCATAAAAACTAAGGAACAGGACCCAGGCCCTGAGTTCAAGCCCTGGATCAGCACCAAAAAAGCTCTATAGTTGCAGAAGAAATCCCATTACTAGCAACTTCTTCAAACACTTGTGGCACCCAAAATGTGTCTCTCATGAGGTCAAACTCAATTTGCTCACTTGCTTGAGGTGTTACTATTGAAGATAAGAGGGTCTTCCACCATGTAAATTTTGGGAAAAACTAATATAGTGGTTATTTCCTGAGAGCAGAAAGGAAGGCAGAAGACAACTAGAAAATGATGCTGGTTCAAACTCCAATTAGACTGTTTATGTTTGTCCTTTAAGACTTTTATAACCAAAATCTAGTTCACTCATAATTGTAGATGTATTTTCGGGAGCTGGGAGTGTAGTATATGAGTACAAGGCCAACCTGGGTTACAAAGCTCAAAACGAAAAAGTCACTTTTCTAAACACAAAGAGGCTAGAAATAGAAGAAGCCATGTGCAGAAATGCAACAACAAAATCCTCCTCTGTGTAACTTTTGAAAGCTTAAAAGAGAAAGGGGGGAAGGGAGAGGGAGGATAAGAGAGGGAGGGAAGAGGGGGGAAGGAAGAGGGAGGGAGAAAGGGGCACTCTCATATATTTAAATGCTGATTGTTTTAAATACATTTAATAGTAATTAATTTTAAACCTTATTTTCATACAAAGGACATCATCAAGGAAGTGAAAAGCCAACTCACAAAATCAGAAAAAATATTTGTAAATCACTTGAGTCTAACATACAAAGCATTAAAAAAAATTCCTTTATCCCTCCCCCCATGTTATAACCCCTGTTTTCACTGTATTCGGTATAATTTGGGGAGGGGAAGGGGAAAAAACAAAATGTTTAAATAGGGATACAGATTGGCCCATTGCAACAATGAGAAATACAAGATGCTATGTCAAAAAATGAACTTTACAATTTAGGAGGGGGGAGGGGTGGTGGTTGAGGTGGGAGGGAGGCAACAATGCTGGATAAGAAACATACTCATTATTCTTGCTCATGTAACTGTAACCCCTCTGTACAGTTATTTTCACAATAAAAAACGTGTTTTTAAAAAAAGGAAACAATCATAGAAACAAAAAGAAAAGTCCTTCAACTCAACAACAAAAATCAATTACCAAGTGGGGGGGGGGGGGAATTGCCCTTTCTCAAAAAGAGATACAAAGTCAGGTGTGGTAGGATACATCTGAGACTCCCAACACAGGGAGAAGCTGAGGTAAGAGAAACCAAGTTTGTGACCAGCGTGGGTTACACACGAAAAAGACAAATAAATGGCCAATAGCACATTAAAAAATACTCATCATTAGTGATTAGGAAAATGCAAATCAAAACCACCAGGAAAAACCACTTGATACTCACTAAGATAGCCATACTTTAAATATAAAATCTAAAAAAAAAAAAAAAAAAACCAGCAATAGGTTTTGTGAGGATATGGAAGAATGGAAGCCCTCATACACCACTGGTGGAAACATAAAACGGTATACATACTTCAGAAATCAGTTTCACATCATTCAAAAGGTGTAACATAGAACTGTTACATAACACAGTGAATCTTCTATGTATGTATAAGTCCAAGCTAATTGAAATCAGGTGTTCAAAAAGAAACTTATATGTGGGGCTGGGAAGGTGGTTCAGTGGTAGAGCGCTTGCCTTGCATGCCTGAGGCCCTGGGTTCGATTCCTCAGCACCACATAAGCAAAAAGAAAAAAGCCGGAAGTGGCGCTGTGGCTCAAGTGGTAGAGCGCTAGCCTTGAGCTGAAGAGCTGAGGGACAGCACCCAGGCCCAGAGTTCAGGCCCCATGACTGGCAAAAAAAAAAATAAAAAGAAAAGAAACTTATACGTAAAGCCTAGTGACATAAGTCAAACTTCAGATACTCAAATGTCCATTGAAGAATGGCTCAAGAAGGAAGTATGTACCTATACAATGGAATCTTAGTTATAAAAGAGAAATGACGTACCAGTGGCTCACACCTGTAATCCTAGCTTCTCAGGAGGCTGAGATCTGAAAACCAAGGTTTGAAGCCAGCCCAAGCTACAGGTCAGACTTATTTCCAATTAACCACCAAAAAAAGTGAAAGTGGAGGTGTGGCTTAAATGGTAGAGCACTAATCTTTAGCAAAAGAAGTTCAGGGACAGTGCCCAGGTCCTCAGCACAAGCCCTAAGGCCAGCACGCACATACATACACACATACATACATACCTACACACATACATACATAAATGGAATGAAGTATCAACACATGCTACAGAATGAACAAGGAAAACAGACTAAGAGAAATAAGCCAGACACTATAGACCACATATTATATGAATGCACCTACATCAGAGGGGAAGACAGACTGTGATACCCAGGGACTGGGAAAAGGGAGGCTGGGGAATAACTGCTTACTGGCAGAGGGCTTTTCACACAGGATGATAGGGAAATTACTGAAACTACACAGTAGTGATGACTGCACAGTATCACAGATGTACCTAAGGCCTGTGAATTGTAAAGTGGTACATTCTATGGGCACTTTACCACCAAAATTTAAAAAAAAACACCCACCTTATGACTTTCTTGAAAAGACACAAGTACAGGGGCAGGGGAGAGAGATCAGCAGTGGGCACAG